TCTGACCTGCCGGGAGGTCTCCGCAGGGCACAGCCACCCACACTCTGCCTGAGCCCAGTGCTCCGTCCACTGTCACGGGCCAGCTTGGGGAGGATGAGAAAGGTGTTCAGGGTTCCTGCCTCTCACCCCATCTCTGTGCATGCCTTGTCAACAAGCCCTCAGTGAAGCCCACCCCTGGGCCAGGCGTGGAACTGGGTCTGGAGGGTCCCAAGGTGGGTCAGCTGTGGTCTGTTCCCTCCTGGAGCCCAGACTGAGGGCCAGTGATTACAATGACTGTGATGAAGGAAGCTCAGGCCGGCTCAGAGCACCTCCGGGGGAGGGGAATCCATGGCGATTGTAGACACGTGTGTTTAAGAGGGAAGGCGAGAGACAGCGAGAGATGGAGAGAAAAGCCAAGGAGAGAGAGACAGAATGAGAGGAGATGGGAGGGGGCAGAAATTAGAGACAGAAACATGGAGAAGAAGCCAGAGAACAGGACAGGGTAAGATGGACACTAGAAAATGCAGGTGCCCGGGGACAGCCATGTGTTCTGTTGGAGGGAGGGGCCGGGGAATAAATAGCAGCTGTAGTCTCTGCTCCAGGTGGGCTGGTTTTTCCTTGGTCAGAGCTCTCTGCAGCACCTGTCAGCAGACCTGCACGCTGGGTGGCAAACCTCAGCACATGCAGCCCCTCCAGCTGCACCAGGAGCCCTCAGGAGCTCCCTGTGTACCCCTCTGAGCCCCCACTGCGGGCTCATGAGTTTGCCTGAACTAAGCCCTGAGTCAGCATCTCAAATATCAGGTTTTAACTCCACCCCCTTCATGAGGTGAGCATTATTTTTGTCCCTTTTTTACACATGGGGAAACTGAGGCTTAAACAGGTAGAGAGGCTGGCGCAGGTCCAGATGGCTGTTTAGGGTAGAGCAGGTTCAAACCCAGGCATCTGACTCCATCTCCTGTGCTTCTAGCCATAGCTCGCCCATGCCCTCCAGCCTGCCAGGCTGTCCAGAGGACTAAATGGAGGGACCGGGAAGGAAAGTCCCCTGGAGCACCGGTCAGGAGCGGTGAACTCCAGCCTGGGGAGCGGGGGGGAGGGTGGAGTCTAGCCTCGTCCAGGGAAATGGAGGAGGATGGTGACTCCTTGCCCCTCTGAAGGTCCAGCTCAAGCTCCTTCTCAGTGAAGGCCACCGGATCCTCCCCCGCAGGGAGCAGGCCGAGACAGGAAGGCCTCCCTGGGCTGCAATGCTGAAGGCTGCCTGGCAGGCCCCTCGCTGCCGGGACGCAGCCCCAGGGGGGGGCAGCCAAAGGGGTGCAGCGTCAGGTGCTTCTGCCAGGGGCTTTCCCTGGACAGGACCTCTTCCTTCTGGGGAGGAATTTGCATGGCTTGTCCTGTGCCAGACACTGATACCCTGTCCTTGGCTGGCACCTCCCGGAAGCCTCCCCGGGCCGTGCCTGCTGCACACTCTCATCACAGTCGATGTGGTGAGTGGATGCCCACGAAGGTCAGACTTCTGCCAGGGGTGTGGGGTGCTACCCTGGCCAGGAGAATTGAAATCTGGCAAATGGGGAAACCCGAGATGTGATCAGGAGGGGCAAGTGAGGAGGAGGAGGAGCAGGAAGATAGCTCCAAGGGGACAGAAGCTCTTTGTCTGCAGATTCTTTGTAAATTGGGCAACATTTGGTGAGGAGACCTATTAGTAAATAAAACCACCATTTCCCTGCCTGCTGCCCTTCAGTTGAGCTCTCTCCTAATGGCACCCCCCCCCCCCACCCAGACATGCCCAGAGACTCCAGGACCTTCAGCGCTATGCGTGGGAGCCAGTGCAGGGCCACCGAGAAGGCCTTGCTCTGGAAATCATGGTCATCACAGTGGCCAAGAAGCAGGGAGCCCTCTGTTTGTTCTTTTTCACTCTCTGCTCTCTCTTCAGGAGGTCAGCAAAGGAACAATCGATGACAATAGGGGATCCCTAAATAGGGGTCGGAGGTCAGTGGCAGATCTCCCTTGTTCCATCTGAAAGCGGTTCTGCCCAGATCCCACACTTCTTTCCCAAAACTCCTCTTGGGGTTGGAAACTAGAGGCCCCCATAAAGGGCAGGGTGTGGGGTTTACTGCCCGTCGGTGGGGAGGGCTCAGCTTGGGCCAGTCCTTGAGGTAATAAAGGGTCACTGTGTGAATTTCAGGGGTGGAGAGGGAGTGGGGGAAGAGTTAGCATCCCTCACCTGCCTGCTAAGCAGCTCCTGCTATTACATGGTTGGTTGTATCATAGCCACCTTCTCTGTTCTCTATGTTTACGCCAGCCACTGTCTCAGCCTTCAGAAGCCTGTATGCTACCTCCCTGCAGGTTCACGGTGGGATCGAGCGCTGCCTGCACACAGGCTCTGGGCATCCTGGCATAGCCAGCCCTGGCCTCGTTGGTTTCCAAACTTGACACTGGTTTTCAAACAGGAGCCTTTGCCCATTTCCTGTCCCTCCTCCTCCTCATTCATTCATTCATTCATTCACTCAACCAATATTGATCCTCAAGTGCCCATCACATGTACAGGGCTAGCTGGCCAGGGGACTTGAGGAGACTCTGAGGCTCTTCATTTGATGGGTTTGGTGGAAAGTGGTAGGAACATGCGAGCAGGTGCAGGGCTGAGGAAGAGGTTGAGTTCTATTTCAGATGCATTGAATTTAGGTGCCCACAGGACCTGCCTGAGGAGCCACCAGAGACAGCTAGACACCTGGTGTGGAGCTCAGGGTACAGAAGATGATGTTAATCCTTCTAACGAGAGTTCTAGGCCAGAAAGCTTAGAGTGACCTTTTGTTGTCCCTCATGCCCAGGTGATCGGTACTGGTCACTAAGTCCTTGCTCCCAAGCCTTTGCTTGGCTGTTTCCTCCACCTCAATACTCTCCCTGTAGAAACCCACCCTTCCTTCAGGCACCTGGGTCAAAGGCTGTTCTTCAAACTTCCAGAACCCTCGTGATGGGAACTGGCTGGTCTTTCTTCCTCTGGGTCCCACCTGCTTTGCTTTTCCCATGTAGCTTGTGTGCTAGAAGTGGCTCCCTGTGCCCCGCCCCCAACCCCCACTGTGCCTCGAGCTCCTGAGGGTAAGGACAGACTCCTCTTCTTAGTGTCCCTCATGGCACCCACCGGTTCCGGCATGAATGAATGAATGTTAATAACAGATTGTTTGAACTTCATATTCTGGGTAGATCTACCCTTTCATCAGCTTCCTCTGCAGATGGGCTTAGAGGGCTGTTCTGCGTGTGCCTAGCTGAGCACACCCCTGGTCTGGGGCCGGGCCACCTCCTGCAGAACCAGCAGAAAGACAGTCTGCTCCGCTGCCGACCCCAGGCCTGCCTCCAGGGCACGCCTGAGTTCCGCCTCTCCGTGGTGGCCCCAGGTTCTCTGTGTTCCCGTGCCAGACATAACAGGGTCTAGGAGCCTCTGATCTCCCAAACCACCCTTTTCCTAATTGGCACTTGGAGATAGAGATAGGGCTTGTGACGTTACTTTTTTTATAATCATGGAACGGCAAAGCCAGCTGCTAATTTAAGGACAAGGATGCTTCAGTGCTCTGAAGAATTAGTCAATTTTGTGTTTCTTCACTCTTTTTGAAAGAGTTTATTGCAATTATGGATGAAAGTCACTTTTAATGTTGCGATACTATGTTTCCAAACAGTGAGGGACCCTGGACCTGTCACCCAAAACCCAGCTGGTGATTCTAGTGCCAAATTCCGGGTCCCCGCTCTGTGCTAGAGGGTGCTAGAGGATCCCGGCAGACCCACTCTCAGGACTCCCTGCCCAGGAGACCCCAAAGCTTCCTCGAGAGCCTCACAGACTTGGGCGGGGGCTGTTTCTCCGCGGCTGAGGGCCTGCTGCGTGCCCACCCTCCACAGGGCTGCCTCCCTAGGTGTGCCCGTCTGCCCCAGGGATTTCAGAGTCAGGACCAGCTTTTCAGGACAAGCAGATCTGAGTCACATACTGGCCAGACTGAGCTGGCAAGGGGGGTGTTCCGGTGGTCTGTGATTTCCCCCACTGTCAGTACCTTATCTTCTCCCTGAGTATCTCTTGGAGCTAAGTTCACATCCGTACACACAGGGTGGCCTGTCCTCGCTGAGGCCCCCCGTGTGCCCACTGCACGCAGGACACCACACTCCCCGTGACACCCCCAGAGACGGATGTTTAGTTTGCTTCCAGCTGGGTCACAGCAGTGCCGCCCTGGAGACCCTGTGTGTGAGCCCTTGCGCCTCACCGGAGTGTATCTGCAGGATGTATTCTTGGAAGTAGAAGTCTAACTTCGGAATTAAAAACAGCTTCCTAGGGAAGGGGTCTGTCAGCTTATATAGTGAGGACAGATTATGACATTTATCGAAATGAGGTTCATGTTTCCCACTCATTCTGTCACAAAGCAAACAAAAGAAGGGGTGGAACATCCTTCTCTTTGGCAGAAAGAGGCCTGGGAGACAGGGTCATGGCGGGTGACCCTTCCCTCTGAGACCTGCTGTCTGTTCTCTGGGAGCTGCATTATGGTCCCAGTAGGCCCGGGAGGACCCGTGAGCACCCTCTGTTCTCTGTCCAGCGGTGGCAGCTGCCCCTGACCCAGGTGAGGCAAGGGGTTCTCCTTGGGACCCCAGGCTGGCTGCTGTGCCCACCCTGGCCGGCTCCCGGCACTTTAGACACCATCTGCCAAGGGAAAGGTCGGTGTCACAGTCAGGTGACCCACCCTAGGACCCCTGCTCTGGGTCCCACCCTCTAGGAGGCAATGAGACCAGAGGGAGGACAAAGCGCAGGTCTGTTACCTCCGGGGCTTCCAGACTGATGGAGGGAGAACATCCCGTGGGAGGCAGCACCAGGCACACCTGCCGGGGGGGCTGTGAGCTGGGATTCCTCCCTCTCCCGGTGCCAAGCCCTGCCCGGGCACCTCTCCTTCTCCCTTGTCCCTGTCGTCCCCTCCCCAACCCCCAGGGTTCTTCGCCTCCAGGAACGGGGGTGGGGGAGGGTCACGGGGCGGGGCAAACCCCCGAATAAAAGGCTGCAGAGCGGGCAGAGCCTTCGTTCGCCTCAGACCCCAGACATGATGCAGCAGCTCATCTTCCCCGTCCTGCTGCTGTCCCTCCTGGACCCTGGTGAGTACAGGTTCCGGGGGGAGCCCCCCGCCCTCGGGTGGGGCCCCCACCACTGCGCCCTGCCGGTGGGGACCCAGCTACCCGGCGCCTGCGGCCGCCTGGGCACCGTGGTCCCGCCCACCGGCCTGGGAGGAGCCGAGCCGAGCGGAGCCCAGGCGTTTGGAAGCCGGAGGGCAGCTTCCCGAAGCGCCTTCCCAGGCGGTCCCGGTTTACCTACCAGGGCCTTTGACACCTGTGGTACTGTTACCAGCGGTTTGCCTGGGAGCCGGTGAGTGCCTTGCCCAGGACACACTCAAGATCCCAGCTCCTACAAGGGCGGTGCTAACCGGCAAGACAGAGCCTTTCCAAGCCTCAGTGTCAGGGACTGTGCAAACAGCTGCCCGCACAGCTGTGAAGGGCCGCAGCAGGGTGCCACCTGGTCAGTGGTAGCGAGGATGTACCCACACCTCCCGCCAGGCGGGGCAGGGCGGTGGCTCAGACCTCCTGATGAAACCTTCTCAGAGGGTGGGGAGAAGTCATGTCTGGTTTCAAATATGTCCATACCAGAAGGGACTAAACAATTGTTAGTTCTGTACCCAAACATCTGGAGTAATTTCTGGGGTGCTCTGAGTGCACTCCCCCGTGATGGGCATTAGTGATGTCCTATATATGTGGGCAGGGCTTCCTCAGTGAAGGGGAGGGTCCCAGGCAGCAGCAGGAAGGGCTGTGATGGGCAGCAGCTAGGCAGTGAGTGTGGGGTTCTGGGTAAAAGCCCCCCAGTGATGCTTTAGCTCAGTACAGCTTCCTCCTGTCTTAGGACATCTGCTTAGGGGGCAGCAGGGAGCTTATGCCCTCAAATGGAGGGAGCACGGTGCCATCCCTGTCCCTGCCTTCTGGTCCCCTTCTCCACATCCGTTCTCATGGGTGCTGGTCCCTCTCTTATCTAAGGCAGGATTGGGCCTGGCCAGTACCAACTGCTCAGGATCAACTTCCTTCTGCTCCCTGACCTGTGGCCTCCTGAGCCACCTGGAAGGGACCAGAGGCAGGAAGCCTTGCTTTGCTGGAGGTGGTCATGGGCCATGGTCCAGGGTTCTGGCTCAGAGTTGTACCCACTTTCACTGGAATGTTTGGTTGCCTTGGCCCCCAGAGCCCTGGGAGCCACGCGTCTCCTGTACCCTCCCAGCGTGCCTGGGACACCTTGGGCTGTCTGCAGGGGAGGGCTCGTGAGCAGATGAGGCAGAGGGCTGAGTGTCCTACCCCAAAGCACATCCGAAGGGGAAGGGGGCTATGCTACCAAGTGTTTTTGTTTTGTGTTTGTAACAGTTTTACTGGGGTGTATTTTACATCTTGTTTAATTCAAGTGTCTGACTCAGTGCTTTTTAGCAGTTTTATGAAGTGGGGCAACTATCGTGTAAATCAGATGTAGAACATTCCCATCCCCTTAATATGATTCCTCATGACGATTTACACTTAACCTCATTCCCACCCATCGGGCAACCACTAATCTTTCTGTTTCTATAAATTTGCCTTTTATGGACAGTTCATAGGAGTGGAATCATATAATACATGGTCTCCTGTGTCTGATCCTTTCACACAGCATCAGTGAGGCTCATTGATACTGTTGTTGCCAAATACTATTCCACTCTATGGAGGTGCCATTCACCAGCTGTTGGACATCCAGCTGGTGTCCACTTTTGGCTATTCTGAATAATGCTGCTATGACTATTCGTGCAGGAGTCTTTATGTGGACATATTTTTTTTAAAAAACTAGTTTCTTTATTGATTTTAGAGAGAGAGGAAAGGAGGGAGAGAGAGAGAGATAGAAACATAGATGAAAGAGAACATCAATTGGCTGCCTCCTGCATGCCCCCCACTGGGGATTTGGCTCACAACCTGGGCATGTGTCCTGATCAGGAATCGAACCGGTGACCTCTTGGTGCATGAGTCGATGCTCAACCACTGAGCCATACAGGCTGGGGCTAGACCTATGCTTTTATTTTTGAGGGGTATGTCTTTAGAAGTGGACTTGCTGGGCCATGCGGTAACTCTGTGTTTAATGTTTTCCCAAAGTGCAGACCATTTTACATTCTCAGCAGTGTATGAGGGTCCCCATTTCTCTTGCCACCTTCTTGCCAACATTTGTTATCTTCTGTATTAGTGAAACCATTCCAGTGGGTGTGAAATGAGTATCTCGTTATGCTTTTAATTTACATTTTCCTAATCAATAATGATGCTGAGCATCTTTTCATGTGCTTATTAGCCATACATGGATCATCTTTAGAGAAATGTCTATTCATATTAGTTGCCATTTTGGATAGGGTTGTTTGTCTTCCTGTCACTGAGTTGTCAAAAGTTCCTGGTAAATATTTTCTCCCAGCCTGTTGCACATCGTTTTCTTTTCTTTACTTTACAAAAGTTTTGGATTTTGCTAGGTCTAATTCATTATGTTTTTTATTCATGGATTGTGCTTTTGGTGTCATAGCTCATTAATCTTTGCCCAAGCCAAGGTTGCAAAGTTTTTCTTTTGTGTTTTCTTCTAAAAGTTTAAGTGTTTTTACCTCTTATGGTAAATTCTGTGATCCACTTTGAGTTGATTTTGGTGTGTGGTGTGAGGTGAGGCTCTGACTTCACCTTTTTGCATGTGGGCATCTAATTGTGTGAGCACCATTTGTTAACAAACTATCCTTTCTGTTAACCACCTTGGCGCCTTTGTCAAAAATCAATCGACTTGTAAATATAAGAATCTGCCTCTGGACTCTTAAATCTGCTTTACTGATCTATATGTCTATATACTAAAACCAAACTGTTTTGATAGCTGTAGATTTATAGTATGTTTTGAAATTAGGAAGTAAAATTCCTCCAACTTTGTTCTTTTTCAAAATTGTTTTTGGCTTTTCTATATATGGTATATAAATGTAAATTATAAATTATATAATGTTATTTTGCTCGTTGCCAGAAATTAATTTATTCTATATAATTTTTAGAACCTGCTTATCAATTTCTGCCAAAAAAAGAAAGAAAGAAAAAACTTGTTGGACTTTAGAGAGGGATTGTGTTGATTCTCTATATCAAATTAGGGAGAATTACCATCTTAACAAATATTGAGTCTTATAAAGCATGAACACAAATGTCTTCCCATTTATTCAGATCTTTAATTTACTTTGACAAAGTTTTGTAATTTTCAGTGTACAAGTCTTGCATTATTTGTTAAATATTTTCATTAGTATTATTCTTTTAGGATGTTATTTTAAATAGAATTATATTTTAATTTTAATTTTAGGATCATGTAATGCTTGTATGCAAAAATATAACTTTTATTATTATTATTTTTTTAATCTTCACCCAAAAATTTTTTTTACATTTATCTTCAGACAGAGTGAGAGAGAGAGAGAGAGAGAGAGAGACATCCATGTGAGAGAGACACATTGATTGGTTGCCACCTGCACGATCCCAACCGGGGCCTTGGATGAACTGCAACCAAGGTCCATGCTCTTGGCCAGAATTGAACCTGGGACTCTGGTCCGCAGGCTGACGCTCTAACCACTGAGCCAAACTGGCTAGGGCTATAATTGGTTTTTGTATACTATCTTGTATCCCATGACCTTGTACTTATTAGCTCTAACAGCATTTTGTAGATTCCTTAGGATTTTCTATGTAGAGGATCATGTTGTCTGCAAATAAAGACTGTTTTACTTCTTCTTCTGTCAGAATGTCTTTTTTTTTCTTGCCTTATTGTTGTGGCTAGGACCTCCAGTACTCTATTGAATAGAAGAAGTGAGAGTGGAATGCCCTTGCACTGTTCCTGATCTTAGGAGGAGAACATTTAGCCTTTCACCATTTTAATATACTGCTCACTGTAGGTTTTCATAGATGCCCCTTTACCAGGCATCCATGTGTTGTTGTTTTTTAATTTTTAATGTATTGATTTTAGAGAGAGAGGAAGGGTGAGGGGGGGGAGGGGGAAAAAGGAAGGGAGGGAGGTGGAGAGGGAGAGAGAGAGGGAGGGAGGGAGAAAGAAAAACATTGATTTGCTGCTCCACATATTTATTCATTTTTGGTTGATTCTTGTATGCACCCTGACCAGGCATCAGACTTGAAACCTTGGTGTATCAGGCCAACACTCTAACCAACCGAGCTACCCAGCCAGGGCACCTGTGTGGATTTTAAGAGCTGTGAGCAAATCGGGTCCAGCCTTCTCCCTAACTGCATCGATTCTAGCAACAAAGGCAGGCTGGGCAGGAGAACCAGTCTTTGTGAGCAGAGGTGCAGGGTGGTAAGGCAGGCGCTGACTCATTTGGTACACCACTTACTGCAGCCCTGGCAAGGAGCCAGGTGTATCTTCCTTCGTTCCCTTGGCATCCCCTGGCGAGATGCTTGTAGACACAACAATCTAGAGGAACCTGGATCCTTGGCTGGACTTTGCCATTGCTGAGCAGCCAGACACTCAGCCTCCTCAAGAGCCAGTTTCCACATGAAGAGCAAAATCCCTTTCTTGTCCACCTCCCAAGTTCAGGTGGGACAAGGCAAGTGGAAAGAACCCCCTAAGCGGATGCAAGGGGTCGTCGGCATAGTGGTGGGAAAGGTGTGGTCACAGGAAGGAAAGGAACCCAGAGGTTCTGAATATCTCCTCTAATTTATAAAGAATCCCAGCCCTCTGGCCAGCACATAGTTCCTGTCGGGACAGCAAGACACCCCCACCTGCAGAGAGAGGCCTGACAGGCACAGAATGGAGAGGGAAGGGGAGGAGGCGAGAGAGCTGGAGGAGTCTGGAAACTCCGTCGGAAGGTAAGGCGTTCTCTTTTGTGGCAGTGGTTGAATCCTTACTCCTTGGCCTTTCTCCCAGGACTGTGTTTGGCTGCCCCTGGGAGAAACATTCGATGGTGCACCATATCACGACCAGAGACCAAAAAATGCTCCAAATTCCAGCAGAATCTGAGAAAAGTGGGTGGCCCCGCTATCTCCTGTGTACAGAGAACCTCCTACATGGGGTGTATCCAGGCCATTGCGGTAAGTCAGGGCCACATGCTGGGTAAGACCTAACTGAATGGAAGGGAAGGGAAAGACATGGAATAAAATAACAAAATGTGTTCTCTCCTCCTTTCTTCCTGGATGCTTGTCAGCTGGGGGCAGCCCTCTCTCAGAGGACACCGAGCTGCTCAGAACACAGAAATTAACATTGTAATAAGGTGGAGAGACCATGTGTGGGGAACCTGGGATCTCCACATAAATTGTTGATAACAACTGTCCAGAAATGACACAGCAGCAGTCATATTGGATGAATATGTAACACTGGCCAATGTCAAGGTTACTCTGAAAGGTAAAACCTCCAGAAGATCATGAGCTCTAAGCCCTGTGAGAAATGAGCTCAGCTGGTCATGGTCACCGCATCGTGTTTGGGGGCCTGCCAGGGCACTGGGCATGGCAAAGACACTTGCCCAAGACATTTTCAGAGAGAGAAAGGAGAATCATGACTTTTGGATGATTTCAGATGCTTTTTGTTTGTTGGGATGTAAGATCTACAGAAATAATTTTTACTGAGTCACCCAACAAATATGTTCTCTGTGCCATGGGTAATCTGTGTAAAAGTTTTCAGTAAGTTCTAGGTTATCGGGCCCTGGCTGGTTTGGCTCCGCGGTTAGAGCACTGGCCCTCTCACCAAAGGGTCACGGGTTCAATTCCCAGGCAAGTGCATGTACCTGGGTTGCAGGCTCGATCCGGCCCCAGTCAGGACACGTGCAGGAGGCAAAGGATCGATGTGTCTCTCTTATCAATGTTCCCCCCCCCCCCACCTCCTTCCCTCCCTTCCATTCTCTCTCTAAAAATCAGTGGAAAAATATCCTTGGGTGAGGAGTAATCACACAACAACAACCAAAGGATCTAGGTTACTGCAACAGGACTAGGGGGAAACACCTCGTTTGAGCAATGTTTTAGGATCTTGTTTACAGCTGTGGTCTGTGGAGAAAGAGCACCAACCTTCCTGCCGGCTTAAAACGCTGGTTCCTAGCCCTGTTCCGACCTGCTCAACCCAGGCATCTGCGAATGAGGTCACAAAATCTGCCTTTTTAACAGAGTCTCTTTCGAAATCAGTTTCACATACCATACATCGCAATAAAGGTGAGAGAGACCATGTTAACAAACGTGGATGTTGGAAGTCTAGAGGACAGACTGCTTAGCAGCGCTACAGCAGAAAGAGAAGCCTCTCAGCTTTTAAGCAATGAACTAAATGATGAAGTAAACGGACCTATTTTAAAATATAAAAATAGCCCTGGCCGGTTTGGCTCAGCGGTTAGAGTGTCCGCCTGCGGTCTGGAGAGACCCGGGTTCGGTTCCCGCTAAGGGCACGTACCTCGGTTGCAGTTTGTCCCCGGCCCTGGTTGGTCGTGCGGGTGGCAGCCACTCGATGTGTCCCTTTCACATCGATGTTTCTCTCTCTCTCTCTTCCTCTCTCTCCCTCCCACTCTACCTGAACAAAAAATGGAAAAATGTCCTCGGGTGAGGATAAAAATAATAATAATAATAAAAATAAAAAATAAATAAAATATAAAAATAGTAACTCATAGCCAGTAGAAACATTTAAACAAAAATTTAGAAAGCACCCGAGTGAATGTGGACCAGCTCTGACAAGTGATTACAATTTACATTCTATAAAGAACTAACTCAAATGGATAAGAAGTGTAGGATCACACAAGAAGACTGATATCAAGGTAGCATTCATAACGGAATTCATAATGAATAAAAATACTTATAGAAATGTTGCCCTTGAAAAGCAAACCTAAGCAATTGCATTTTTGGAAAGAAGAATACGGAATATAATGCAAGCCCATCCATGGAATAACATGCTGGTGATGCTGCGGTGAAATGACCCCCGCGGTTGGCGGCATTCTAAGTCAGCATCACGAATCTCTGGGAAGCAGCGTGGCCGCCTACCGCAGCCAGGGCCACGAAGGTCGACATGCTCCTTGTCTGGGCGATCTCACCCTCAGATGCCTGTCCCGCGGCAACAGGTCATCAGAAGGAGCAAAAGCGATGAGGACAAAGTGTGGTTTTAATAGCAAAAAACAGAAATATCCCAGGTGCTGAGCATTTGGGGGAATTATTTAATAAATTATAGAACAACCACATTATAATAAAATACTGTAAAGGCAGGAAAACCAATAAAGGCTCTACAGAAGAAAGAGAATGTAGTTTTAGATGAATAAAGCTGACAACAAGATATTACCTATACCAGATTGCAAATACAAGAAATATGTGAGCAGATGAGAATAGGCTAAAGAGGATGAACATGATTTGTTGTGATAATTTTAAGATAGTTTAATAGCCTGGCCAGTGTGGCTCAGTGGTGGAGCGTCGACCCATGCACCAAGAGGTTGCTGGTTTGATTCCCGGTCAGGGCACATGCCCAGGTTGTGGGCCTGATCCCCAGTGGGGGGCATGCAGGAGGCGGCCAATCAGTGTTCTCTCTCATTGATGTTTCTATCTCTCTCCCTCTCCCTTCCTTTCTCTCTAAAAATCAATAAAGAAAAAGACTTAAAAAAAAAAGATAGCTTAATAATTACAATTTCTATTCAATAAAAGAGTTGAAATAAATATAGAACAAATGCAGGGAGAAAAACATGTAGAACAAACAACTTTAAATATAAACCACGGCAAAGAGTGTTATACAGGGTGGAGGGAGAGTAGATTATTGTTGTTCATATAGAAAATAATTCAGTAATTAATAAATAATAATACAAGAATAAACTTTCACATACTCACAACCGTAACCCTACTTTGGCCCACCCTGTACAGGTGGGTGGGCACATGAAAAAGAGGCAGTGTGCCAACCTCGAGAGTTAAAGCAGTTGGGGGGCTGGTGTCCATTGTCCCGAAAGAGGGACCCTCGGCTCATGCCACCTGTCACAGGACGTGAGTGGACATGATCAAAAGCTGACCCTTCTGCAGATTCTTCCGGCCACAGGGCCCTCTGACGCTCGCAGCCACGTGCCCGGGTTAGGTGGGTTTTCTCCTGAAGCCGTCTGGCCTCTGTTTTCAGGCAAACAAGGCAGATGCTGTGACCCTCGACGGCGGTCTGGTGTTTGAGGCAAGCCTGAAGCCCTACAACCTGCGACCTATAGCAGCAGAGGTCTATGGGACCCAAGAGGGTGAGTTCTCCCTGGGGACCCAGAGCTGGGGTGGCCATGGCCATGGCCCTGGGCCCTGTGGAGTCAGAGCGGATGAGTTGCAGAGGTGGGGTCTCGAATGGCATCACACCTGAAGGAACAGAGTCCCTGGGAACTTTGGGCCAGAGGCTGACCCACTGGGGCGGGGCACCGTGAGCTCCCTGGTAACCAGGACAGGCTCTGGGTAGTTCTGCACCAGAAGAAACTGCAGCACGTGGTCCCCTGCCCACCTGGGGCCATTTTTCTCCCTTGGGTCCAGGCTGAGAGGGGTGATTGTCTGCCCCTTTGCAGAGCCCCAGACCCAATACTACGCTGTGGCCGTGGTGAGAAAGGGGAGCAACTTTCAACTGAGCCAGATACAAGGCAGGAGGTCTTGTCACACCGGCTTGAACAGGTCTGCCGGGTGGAACGTCCCTGTGGGCATCCTTCGTCCATACCTGAACTGGACAGGGCCACCCCAGCCCCTTCAGAAAGGTGAGATGGCTGGGGCACTGTGGGTGACTTCATGCCGAAGCCTCTACTCTGCTTCACACACAGCCACTTTGGGGCCACACAGGTGAATGTGCAGGTGACTCCGAGGTGGGGACAAGGTTAACCTGGGGGGTTAACTGCTCCAGCTGCCCTTGGGAGCTGATCTCTAACCTCAGAACCTCAGGACAGAGGCCAGACCTCTGGCAGGGTGGAGGAAGGGGCTGCCCATGGGGAGTGCACCCTGGGAGGGGAGTGCACACGGGGAGGGGAGTGCACCCTGGGAGGGGAGTGCACACGGGGAGGGGTGTACACCCTGGGAGATGAGTGCACCCTGGGAGGGGAGTGCACACTGGGAGGCATGTGCACATTGGGAGGGGAGTGCACACTGGGAGGCCTGTGCACACGGGGAGGGGTGTACACGGGGAGGGGAGTGCACCCTGGGAGGGGAGTGCATACTGGGAGGGGTGTATACCCTGGGAGGGGTGTGCACCCTGGGAGGAGAGTGCACCCTGGGAGGGGAGTGCACACTGGGAGGGGTGTACACCCTGGGAGGGGTGTGCAACCTGGGAGGAGAGTGCACCCTGGGAGGGGAGTGCACCCTGGGAGGGGTGTACACCCTGGGAGGGGTGTGCACCCTGGGAGGAGAGTGCACCCTGGGAGGAGAGTGCACATTGGGAGGGGTGTGCACTCTGGGAGGGGAGTGCACCCTGGGAGGGGAGTGCACACTGGGAGGGAAGTGCACACTGGGAGGGAAGTGCACACTGGGAGGGGTGTACACCCTGGGAGGGGAGTGCACACTGGGAGGCATGTGCACACTGGGAGGCATGTGCACACTAGGAGGGGAGTGCACCCTGGGAGGGGAGTGCACCCTGGGAGGCATGTGCACACTGGGAGGGGAGTGCACCCTGGGAGGGGCGTGCACACTGGGAGGCCTGTGCCTGGCTGCCTCACCCTCTGTCCTCTTTCTCTGTGTTCACAGCTGTAGCCAACTTCTTCTCCGCTAGCTGTGTTCCCTGTGCAGATGGAGACCTGTACCCCAACCTGTGTCGCCAGTGTGCAGGGACAGGGAAAAATAAATGTGCCTGCTCCTCCCGTGAACCATACTTTGGCTATTACGGTGCCTTCAGGTGAGTGAGACTGTACTCTTCTCCCTAGTGGCCCGAGTGCCACGTGTGCTCAGGCCAGGAGGCCTTTCTCTGGCCGCAGGTAGAGCTCAGCCTGCTGTAGGGGCCGAGAGGGGGTGCAGGCCCATGGCTGTGCAGACAGAGACGCTGTGCAGAGGCTGCTGACTCGGCCCAGCGCGTTCCCCTCACCTCTGCATGACCCCCTGGTCTCCCCAGAGAACCATGAACCTGGCTTTGCCCTTGCGTTGTCCTGGGTTCTGCCTTCTGACTTCTGTCCCCTCCCTAACCAGGGGTGGGCTGAAGGAGTCTGGTCATGGGACAGCCAGTCCCAGGCTCCGGCTGGGCAGGATGGAAGGGTGTCTGGCTGAGGGCATTCTGCCCTGCGTGCCCCCACCTCCCGGAGCTGGGAGACAGCCAGCTCTGCCCCGTGACCCCTGCGCCCTCTCTGCCCCCGCGCTGAGGCTGACCGCTCTCCCACCCCCAGCACCTCCAGGGCAGCCAGATTTACAGCGAGGCCTTCCCGCTGCTCTGGCAGGGGCACCTTTGCCCACTCAGTCTGGGAGAAAGGAGCACATGGCCAAGGACCTTGAGACCTTGTCCTCTGGCGTCGAGTCTTCAAAACTCTTACATAGAAAGACAGTTTCGCCCACGCAGCTCTCAACGCGAAAGGGAGGGGGGTGCTTTGTCCAGCACCCGAGTCCTTCCTCCTCAGAATCTACCTGGACGTGGCCTCGCCACCTTCCCCGTCAGCCTCTGAGCCCTGCCCTCCAGGGCGCCGATGCCCAGAGGAGACGCGCCGTTCCCCGGGAGTCACAAGGAAGAGGCCGCTCTGCTGACCCTCTTGTGCCCGCTCACTTCACAGGTGTCTGAGAGAAGGGGCCGGAGATGTGGCTTTTGTCAAGGACAGTACAGTGTTTGGTAAGAGCAGAGAGCAGACCCAAAAGGCTGCCCCTTTTGTCTTATCATGATTCTGGATATTGAACTAATGGGATTGCTCATTTCCGGCACTATTATCCAGGTTCCCCAGAAGGCTCAGCTCTTGCTTGGTGTCATTTCATAGTTTAAATGATCAGGGTTCTTTAAACGTGTGCCCACTGCTGTTCTCTCCCCCCCCCCCCCCCAGACACCATGCCAAGGACCTTGACATGTGTCCTCTCAGATGTATGGGTCTCGATGATGTCCGGTCCCCGTGTGGGTTCCTGGGTCTAAGTCACACGGTTTTACTGAGCACCAGAAACATCATTACTGAGCATTAGGAACCATGCTGCTGCCAAGGTTTTCCACCCAGCACTTTGTTCTAGAGATTTCTCTGTGCTGTTGTCCAAATGCCCAGGCCTGTGGTTCTAACGGCCGAGTAATGGTCCATGGAACCCACCCACCAGATTTTACTTCCCTGTCACCCTGTGATGGGCTGGGCCGTCCTTTACCACAAACAGCTCCATGATTCATGTCTTTACCTGTGTCCTCTTACTGTGTCGCTGGAGAATGTCCTGAGGGACCTCACGTGAGGAGCTGAGCCTGCACAGGCCGAACACATTCTACCCTGAACCACTGGGGACAGACCCACGACATTCCCTGCAAGATCTTCAAAGACAGGCCCCCCACCTCCTCCCAGGACCTCCGGAAACAGGCCCCCCACCTCCTCCCAGGACCTCCAGAAACAGGCCCCCCACCTCCTCCCAGGACCTCCAGAGACAGGCCCCCCACCTCCTCCCAGGACCTCCGGAGACAGGCCCCCCACCTCCTCCCAGGACCTCCGGAGACAGGCCCCCCACCTCCTCCCAGGACCTCCGGAGACAGGCCCCCCACCTCCTCCCAGGACCTCCAGAGACAGGCCCCCCACCTCCTCCCAGGACCTCTGGAGACAGGCCCCCCACCTCCTCCCAGGACCTCCGGAGACAGGCCCCCCACCTCCTCCCAGGACCTCCGGAGACAGGCCCCCCACCTCCTCCCAGGAACTCCAGAGACAGGACCTCCATCTCCTCCCAGGACCTCCGGAGACAGGCCCCCCACCTCCTCCCAGGACCTCCAGAGACAGGCCCCCCACCTCCTCCCAGGACCTCCAGAGACAGGCCCCCCACCTCCTCCCAGGACCTCCGGAGACAGGCCCCCCACTTTCCATCTACTTTTATTTTTTTCTAGATTTGTGGGTAAGTCAGCACCTCCTGGCTGGTTCCTTGGTTTGTCTCCATCAGGTGACCCTTTCCTAGGCGGGGTTGCCATGGAAACAGTGGGGTCTGGCTCAGCTTCCCTGGCTCACCAGCACCAGGGCAGCCCATACGATCCAGTCAGAGCATCACTGGACTGGCGCCCAAGGCTTCCGGACACTGTCTTCACCTTTCTGAGTGTCCTGGAGCAACCCAGTGCCTGTGTGTCAGAACCCCCAGTGTCGTCAGCTGTGTGAGACGTCTCCTCCAGCTCGGATTCCAGGGGAAGGGACCCCAGCTCACGGTCACTGCCTGGAGTAGGCTCATCTGGGCCCCCTGACCGCCTCCTCTCCTCGTTCCCCAGAGAGCCTGCCGGACAAGGCTGAGAGAGACCAGTATGAGCTGCTGTGCCTGGACAACACGCGGAAGCCAGTGGAGGAGTTCCAGGCCTGCCACCTGGCCCGGGTCCCTTCTCATGCTGTCGTGGCCCGCAGTGTGGGGGGCAAGGAGGACTCCATCTGGGAGCTTCTCCGCCAGGCACAGGTATCAGCGCCCACAGCCCTCCCGCCTGCTTGCATTTGGTTTTGGAGTTCCTTCCTCCCCTGGCTTCCTGCCCCTCTAGAAGTCTGCAGCCTGGCCGCCCAGGGGTCTGGGTTCAGGGCGCTGCTGGCCCGGGCTGGCCCCTCACAGCGGGAGCTAGGAGGCCCCTCCGCGTGTGCTGAGGCGGCTCACGGGCTGCAGAGAGCGGGAGGACCCTGCCACTTTCTTAGGGCTCCCAGGTGCGGGCCCCAGCACTGCAGAGAATAGGCTGTAACCGGGCTGTGTCGCAGAAGCGGCCTGAGTCCCTTACAGCAGGAAGTCGGCCAGGCTTTCCGCTCTCAGAATCGCCCCTAAATTCCGGGTCTGTTTCAGCGCTGCGGGTTCGTTTCTTCCTTCCTGCCACTGCCCTCATCGCTTCTGTGTTTCCTTTGTCAGGAGAAGTTTGGAAGAGGCAAGTCGTCCACATTCCAGCTCTTCGGGTCCCCCACCGGGCAGAAGGACCTGCTGTTCAAAGACAATGCCCTTGGGTTGTTGAGGGTCCCCCTGAACATAGACGCTGGGCTGTACCTCGGTGCCAACTACATCACTGCCATCAAGAGTCTGAAGGAAAGTGAGTGAGGCCGGCTGGTGCAGGGGGTGAGCCTCTGCCGAGTCCCTGGGGGAGGGCACCTCGTGCCCCTGGAGCGTGGGCAGCTGGGCCCTGCCCCGTGTGGTACCTGCCCATGTCCCGGCCCCTGGAGGTCTTGGCTGTGGTAGGTCTGATGCAGGTGCAAGGGCCTTCTGTTGACCCAGTAAGGGCATTTGAACACGAGGAACTGACTGCAGAAGAACGTGCCAGTCGCGTGATTAATGCTGCCACCTGTCCCTGTGTGCGGCAGGCCCCCAGCCCTGACAGAAAAGTCAGTCTGTCTCCTAAGAAGTGAGAAGTAGGAACACGAGCCAAGAGAGCCGCGGGCCCTGGGGCGGCCGGAGGCCTGGTGCACCCCGCCCTGTGCCTGGCTCTGCCTCTCACCGTGGTTCTTCCTCTGCGGGGGGCGTGGTGTGGAGTCTGGGTGAACCCAGAGGTTGCACTGTAGTCACTGGGGTGACTGCAGCCTTAGGGGAGGTCAGAGCTCAGCTCAGGGTCCCCTTGGCCATCTCTTGGGTCCTGAAGCTTTTCTCCTGTGGGGCCCAGATATTAGGCAAATCATTACACTAAAGACTGAAGGTGGATCAGAAGCCAGGAGAACGGGGCTGAGAAGCAAGGGGGACAAAGTGGCCTGAGGAGGGGCTGTGCGCAGGCAGTGGGGGGGCAGGGCAGACAGACTTCCTTCTAGAAGTAGGACAGGTCTGCATCTGTGGGACGGCCAAGCAGGCAGGGCTCTCGGAGGGGTGCCCGGGCCCCAGGCAACTTGGCAGCCGGGAGTCCTCGGTGAGGCTCAGTGCCCCGTTGACGGTGGTGTCCCTGGAGCAGAATCATCGGAGGTGGAGGCAAGGCGCTCGCGGGTCGTGTGGTGCGCAGTGGGCCCCGCGGAGCAGCGCAAGTGTCTGGAGTGGAGCAGCCGGAGCCCCGACGTCATGGCCTGTGCCACAGCCGCCACCACCGAGGACTGCATCGCCCTGATCCTGGTAGGGCTGCCCGCGGTGGGGGCCTGTGGCGTGTGCGGTTGGGGCAGTGGGCTCGGCAGAAGACCCCGGGTTGTGCACCCGCTCAGAAGTGATGGGGCCCCAAGAGCACTTCCGTGAGGTCAGGCAGGGTGAGCCCAGGGCCTCCTGCAGCCCAGCGCACGTGGCCAAGCAGGCCCAGCTCTCCTTAGAACGCCGCGGGTGGTGGGCTTGCCGCTCTCCTGAGTATCGGCACCAGGTAATTTGGAAAAGAGAGAAAGGTATGACGTAAGGTAAATAGTAAGAACCAGGAGTGACGTGCACAGAGACACCACAGCTCGTCTGGGGTCCTGGGCGTGTCCACGCATAGGTTGGCCGCAGCCCCGGTCACACCAGTAAGGTGGTTTGGAGTCCTTTTCACTCAATAGTACATCGTGGCCATGTCCCCATGTGAACACAGCGCCTTTGAAAACACACGACAAGGTGATTTCAGGAGACCTCTTCTGTGAAGTGGCTGGGTCATGACCCTGTCCCTCTGTGTCCCCTTGTTCTGTTATTATCAATAACCTGTGCTGTGCACCCTTGAATAGAAATCTTCATATGCATCTCCAGTTACTTTTAATATTATTATAGAAAGTTGTTCCTGGGTCAAAGAGGGCACTTGGGATCTTGACGAATCCATGTTCCCACGCTGGAGCCGATTTAATGAGCGTTGCCGCTCCTTGGTCGGCCCACTTTGGTGTCGCCCTTCGAGTGTGGTCCGCTGGTCCCATCTGTCTCCTGAGTGAGTGAGGCCTGTGGGGAGGTGTCCCAGGCGTGCTCGGAGTGCACAGGGTTTTGCTCAGAGGACACAGGGCTCGTGCGGCCTGTGCCAGGTCTGCCCAGGGAAGTGACGTAGGAAAGACCCGTGGGCTGGCCGAGGACTCACAGTGCCCAGGGTGCTGGCTCTGGGTGCTCGGTTCAAACGCTCCCTGCCGCTTTGTGCGGGGTCACGGGGACAGCGGACGTGAGCCGCTCTCGCAGACGGCCGTGAAGGCTGGCGGGACACGGGCAGCCTGGCCGTGACGCTGCAGTTGCATTGTCTTTGCAGAAAGGAGAAGCTGATGCCATGAGTTTGGACGGAGGATATATCTACATCGCGGGCAAATGTGGTTTGGTGCCGGTCTTGGCAGAGAACAAAAGTAAGTGTCGGGGGGTATCCTCTCTGGTTTATTCCCCTGGGCCATGGGGTAGGGGTATGGAGAAGTCACCCCACTCAGGTCCCGGTGGAGACACTGGGAAGGATGACACATTCAAACAGGAGAATCAGGGAAAAGAGTAAACCAAGGGGCCGTGTTCCCCACAGACCCTCTGTGCTGAGGTCAGACAACATGCAGGACAACTCAGAAAGTATAGTGAATGGGTGGAATCTACTTTATGATGAAAGTGCTCAGTTATAAAGTGTAGTGTCTGTTTATGTCTTGCCCAGTGTTACACAGTGCTTTCTGTCCATATAGGAATATGGCTGTGGAATACCCAGTCTTGCGTACTATTGCATGGGGTTCTGCAGTGGAGGGGCGTCTGGGTAATTCCCAGCAGCGGCTGTGAGCAGTGCTGTGTCCATGCCTGTGGTGACCATTGCATGCATCTCAGCCGCTGGAGCCGCTGGACACTCTCTTTGAATTGGATTCTGCGTTGCTGAGATTTAAAAGTTTATGACTTCTCAGTAGATCCAAGTGTTTAACGACATTTTGCTTGTTTTTATTCTTTCAGAATCCGAAAAAAGCAGTGACTTGACGTGTGTGAATAGACCGGTGGAAGGTGAGTTGGAATCGGTTATTTTCAGGGTCAAGGGTAAGTTCTTGTTGCTGGAAGAAGGGGGCAGGAAATTGAAAAAACTCATAGGCAGAGAAGCAGCCGAAGTTCTTTCACAGATGTAAGTGATTCATAGAGACTTTTAGTTGATGTTTAGGTTGACTTTCACACTTGGCAGAGACCTCTCAGAGTTCCTCACTGCGCCCTGGCCACATGGAGGAGAGGGGTTACCTCCCCGTCTCCTACAGATGAGGAAACACTGGCTCGGAGTCTCCTGAAGCGCCCAGACCTCACGCCCAGGCACAGCTGAAGATGCTGGGGCACCCTCCTCTGTGCTGGTGCCGTGCCCTGTGCACAGCCCCACCTGCCCGTCGGGGCTGCTGCTTGCTCAGCTTCGGAAGAGGTCTGCACTGCCCACAGCGGGAGTGTCAGGTGCACCCTGGGAGGAGGACTGCCACCACATTGACCCTGTCACCATGCAGGACTCAGCACAGGGTGGCCCTTGGAGACACACCCCTGCATCCAGACAGCACTTAGCCTGGCCCAACGCACATCGCAGTTGGTGACTTAGGCGCCATTGGGGTCACACGAAATGTTCAGTGTGTGTGGCTTTAGAGTTCACATCTGAATTGCTGGTTCATAACTCAGGGACAGCGTGTGGCTGGTCAAGGATAGTCCCAGCCTGTTCACTTAAAGAATCAGCTTTTCGTATCTCATTTCATAGCCCCAATTAATCTCACCTTAACAGAGGACAGCAGCCTTTTCGGTCTACCTAACCGCGTTGCCCGGGGAGTCGTTGCTGGTGATGCTCCTCGACCTGCTTTGGCCTGAGTTGCAGACAGCGGCTGAGAGTCCGCACGCCAGGCCCCTAGAGATCAAGGCTTGCTCTTCTGTCGTCCCAGGGTATCGTGCTGTGGCGGTTGTCAAGAAATCAAACACTGGATTCACCTGGAATTCTCTGAAAGGCCGGAAGTCCTGCCACACCGCTGTGGGCAGGACTGCGGGCTGGAACATCCCCATGGGTCTGCTCTTCAACCAGATAGGCTCCTGCAAATTTGGTAAGGAGTCCTGAGCGGGCAGGGCGGCCATCTGGGGTGGGCACGTCCGCTTCCGCAGGAACCTGGGGGCGGGGGGGGCGGCTTGCAGGCCCACAGCCTCTGTTGGTGTGAGCGGGCTCTCCCCTGGCTGCCTCGCAGTCCTGCTGCCCATGTCCCGCCCACCCCCAGGTGATGCTGCGCCGGCAGCCTGTCCGCATCCTGAGAATGGGCGCAGGCTCTGAGAAGTACAGATGGTACTTTTTACCTCCTGGCGCTGCAGGTCTAAATGCCTCACAGGCGCTGGCTTCCTAGTTTGGGAAAAGGCACCTGCCTGCCTCCTGAAAGGGGACTTCTCTTACTAACAGAACTGTCTTCTTACTCCACACTGCGAAGGAGACAGACTAAGACCTCCAGGTCTGACTCCGCCTGCTTCTGGGGCCTTCTGTCCCTGCCACCCCCTGCGTGCCCGTGCCCTGCCTGCTGTGGCCTGGTGTGGCAGGTTCTCGCCGTGGCTCACCTCTGCAGGGCCTCCTTGCTGGCTCTCATGGCTCTGCTCCTCGCCTCCGGTGTTTGCTGTTGTCTCCCTCCACCCCCGTGGGCCGGCTTGGAGCTGTGGGGAGGCTGCCCGGACCACGGTGGGATGCTCCCCAGCTCCCCACCCCGGGACTGGCCCGAGTGCGGCCCTTTGGGTCAGGGACGCGTGGATCTGTCTGATGATGGGAGCTGCTTGCTCATCGAGTTACCTCTATTTCTTCTCTCCTTAACCCAGATGAACCCGTCAACTCCTGTTAAATCCACGATGGGTTAGTTCAGATTTGGTCAAGCTCCAAGGAGAGAAAACCCCAAATAGTAGAGGCTTGAACAAGCCTGAAGTTTACTTTTGTTGTCTGTGGGGCAAGTCTGGGGGTGGATCATCCAGAGCTAGTATGAGGACATCATGTCTGGACCTGGGCTGCCAACATCTGGCTGCTCCAACATATGTGGCTTCCATGCTCAAGGTCACCTCCAAGGCCCATGTCACAAGGGGAGGCCCAGTCCCCGCTTCTGCATCCGGGGTGCAGAATGAAGGAAGGGAAGGAGAAGGGTTCACGGCATGTACCGGTTCTCTTTTAAGGATGTTTCTAAGATGCTGGCACCCAACATTCCCACTCATCTTCCATTGGCCGGTACCTCGCCACATGGCTGTACTAGTCACAGGGCATGGATAAGGCTGGTCTTTAGACCAGGGAACCAGGTGCCCAGGTAAAAGCAGGGTTTCTGTTACGGAGGACAAGGGGAAATCAGACCCTGGAGCGAGCAAGCAGCTGATTGTGCTGCCGGTGGCCAAGTCCATCAGGGGAGGCCCCAGCTTGCGGCTGTGATGGAGGGACCTCTGTGCAGGTAGTGTGTCCCCACCCCAGTCGGGCTCGCTGCCGCTGCCTGCCGTCTGGAGCCTTTCCTGATTTCTGCTGGGCCCTGGGTTGGTGGGGACACACCGAGGCAGTGACTGTGCTGTGTGTCCTGGGCGATCGCACGAACCCCACCCACGCGGTGTCCCCTGCTGCTGGGTTGACCCAGGTGGGAAGAGCTGACCTCCCCGTTCCTCTCCGCAGACCAGTTCTTCAGTCAAAGCTGCGCCCCAGGGTCAGACCCGAGCTCCAGTCTCTGTGCGCTGTGTATCGGCAACGAGGCGGGCGAGAACAAGTGTGCCCCCAACAGCAACGAGAGATACCACGGCTACGCGGGGGCCTTCAGGTGCGTGGAGGGCACGCCCGCCAGCCGAGGCCTCGGGCCTCATCCTCCGACACCTTTTTTTTTTTTTAATCCTCACCAGAGGATATTTTTCTATTTATCTTCAGAGTGGGAGGGAGGGAGGGTGTGAGAGAGAGAGAGAGAGAAACATTGACGTGAGAGAGCCACATCGACTGGTTGCCTCCTGCACGACCCTGACCAGGGCTGGGGAAGAACCGCAACCGAGGGACGTGCCCTTGACCGGAATCGAACCTGCGACTCTTTGTGGTCTGTGGGCCGACGCTCTAACCGCTGAGCCAAACCGACCAGGGCCATCCTCCAGCATCTTGGCACTGCATTTTTAGGGGCCCGACATGGCCTGTCACAGCGGAGCCAGGGGTTCCCGTGGGGGTCTGCTAATAGGCAGCACGAATGAGAGCTCCTCCCACCATCCTCACCCCCGCCCCCCCCAGTGGCGCCTGCTCCGTTGGCTCCGCCCTATGGCCTGGGGCCAAGTCCACCTCAGTGGGCCTCACTGTCCTCATCCTCAGAGGCAGATGGATAGAGCACGTGGTACCTTAAGTCCTATCTACAATTCAGTTTTACGGGGAAGAATAGGTACCACCCTGTCTCCTACTCTAGGTTATCATGTTATACATTTCACTTTTCTCTTTGATTTTGTCCTTAGAAATGGCAAAGAGAAGCAGCATTGCAGTGCTATTCTCCGCCAGTGAAGTGGAAAATAACCCAAAAATAGGTTTTCGGAATGAAGCTACTTAGCTATTTGCAGTGACTATCGACAGCCCACACTTTGTAATCCCATTTGTTAAGCTGTTGCTTCTCAGTGGTGCTCACTGTATTAGGGGTTTGAAGGGCAGAGAAGTCCTCCGCTATCCTTTTCTCCGTTCTCCAAAAATATATTTCACCACCAGATGGCACCATACATCTGAGAGTGCCGCAGGTCAAACTGGTCTTTGAGCTTTTAAATATAAATTCAGTGGCCTTCTCTCCAGTGATGGGATGATATAAAAGTAGCTTTTACTATACTCTGAGTGACTCATAAAAATATTTTATGAATGTACAAACATATCTTTTTTTTTTGTCTTTCAGATTTTTTTTTTTTTTTTATCCTCACCCGAGGACATTTTTCCATTTTTTGTTCAGGTAGAGTGGAAGGGAGAGAGAGGAACAGAGAGAGAGAGAGAGAAACATCGATGTGAAAGGAACACATCGAGTGGCTGCCACCCGCACGACCAACCAGGGCCGGGGACAAACTGCAACCGAGGTACATGCCCTTAGCGGGAACCGAACCCGGGTCTCTCAGGACCTTAGGCCAACGCTCTAACCACTGAGCCAAACCGGCCAGGGCGGTCTTTCAGATTTTTTAAAAATTTTAATTAATTCATTAATTTTTGTTACAGATGTTTCCCTTTTTCCCCCACTGATTCCCCTCCCCCTCCCTCCCAGCCCTGTCCCCAGCTTTGTTGTTCATGTCCATTGTTCATGCACACATGCATATAAGTTCTGTGGTTTATCTCCCCCCACACCCCCTCTTCTGGGGATTGTCAGTCTGTACCCCACTTCCATGTTTCTGGGACTACCCCATTCCTCAGACTGTTATGTTCATTATATTCCACAAATAAGTGAGATCATGTGATACTTGTCTTTCTCTGCTTGGCTTGTTTCACTTAGGATAATACTCTCCAGATCCCTCTATGTTGTCTCAAAGGATAAGAGATCTTTCTTTCTTACCGCTGCATAGTACTCCATTGTGTATATATACCACAGCTTTTTTATCCATTCGTCTACTGATGGACATTTGGGCTGTTTTCAGATCTTAGCTATTGTAAATAGTGCTGCTATGAACATGGGGGTACATATATTCTTTCTGATTGGTGTTTCAGGCTTCTTAGGGTATATTCCTAGAAGTGGGATCACTGCGTCAAATGGCAGTTCAACTTTTAATTTTTTGAGGTAACACCATATTGTTTTCCATAGTGGCTGCACCAGTCTGCATTCCCACCAGCAGTGTACTAGATAAAGTCCCCTTTCCTCCACACCCTCGTCAACACTTGTTGTTTGATGATTTGTTGATGGCGGCCATTCTGACAGGTGTGAGGTGATACCTCATTGTTATTTTAATTTGTATCTCTCTGATGATTAGTGATGTTGAGCATTTCTTCATATGTCTCTTAGCCATTTGTATGTCCTGTTTGGTGAGGTGTCTATTTAGCTCCTCTGCCCATTTTTTAATTGGGTTCTTTGTCTTCCTTTTGTTGAGTTGTATGAGCACTCTGTATATATTGGAAGTTAACCTCTCATCTGATGTATCATTGGCAATGATGCTCTCTCATTGAGTGGGTTGCCTTTCCATTTTGGTGGTTGTTTCTTTTGCTGTGCAGAAGCTTTTGAGTTTGTACAAACATATCTTTAAAGGACTAAGGATATGCAAATGGAAAAGTTGTGATGTGATTTTACCCAGAAATATTGAATAGACACATATCTGATAAAAACCCAAAAGAATCATAAATGGTTTTTTTCTCCCAAACTATGGCAAGGTTATTCTTTTACTGGAAACACCCACACTTTAGTATTTCTACTTATACTAGGAGAAAATGCTTTGTCTTTTGCTCAAATTGAAAGCTGGAACCAGAAGTCCTGCCTACCTCTGTATTTCTCACATCCGAATGTTGCTGGTGCTTAATTTTTAGCTGTAGGCTGTTTCTGATGACTTTCTGTTGCGGTAAAAAAAAGATCTAGCCTCTCATTCTGCTCCCGTTGCTCCTCTACCCACAACCACAAACTTCACTGTTGTTTAGCTCCCAGCAAGATGATGTCATATTCAGTGCTTACACTATTATGAATATGTAAATATGATTCTCATATTAAATATGTGTTCTAATAAGATATTTCCCTTCTCATGCAAAGTGTTTGTATGCTCTGTACAAAGTTAACAGAGGTCTTACTTTCAATTTATTTAATTTTCTGTGCTTTAAAAAATGATCAGTAATTCATCTCAAAACCCTTTGCCGATAGTGTAAATCTCCTAACAAGATACACACAGAGCAGATGCTGTCTCAGGTTCATCCCTTACCTGGCAATGTCACTCCTGAAGACCTCCTGCTCAGTCTGAAGTGGTACCCTCTAAGCCCCCTGCGCATCTGTGGTCCTGGGATTCCCCGGACCATTGTTCTGGGGTTTTCCTTGGTTCTACATTGTGTTAAATCTCCTGTTTCCTGGATCCCATAAACATTAGTTTTCTTGGAAATGAAAAAAAGTCTTGAGAAAGGGTGAATAGGAGTTGCTACTTTTGATTGGTCCCATGTCTGAAGAGATCTTTATCTTACTGAAATGATTATAGTTTGGCTGAAAAACTAAGTGCAGATTGGAAGACATTTTCCCTAGGAATTTTGACAGGATTTTCATATCTGGGAAATGACAGCATTAGGCTGTTTTGACCAATTTTCCTACTGAAAACAAGCAAAAATGCTGGACTAAGTAGACACTCACATTCTTTTTTCTTTTTTAAATCCTCACCGAAGGATATTTTCCCATTTATCTTCAGATAGAATGGGAGGGAAGGAGGAAGCAAGAGAGGGGGGGAGAGAGAGAGAGAGAGAGAGAGAGAGAGAGAGAGAGAGAGAGATTGGTTGCCTCCTGCACAACCCCGACCAGGGCCAGAGACTGAACCACATCCGAGGTACGTGCCCTTAACCAGAATTGAACCCGTGACTTTTTGGTCTGCAGGCTGATGCTCTAACTGCTGAGCCAAACTGGTCAGGGCCACACACACATTCTTAAAAGCAGTGAATAACTGACAAAGTAATAAGGAATTATTAAATTAAAACCTAAGGGAGAATAGGAATTCAGAGAGCTAGTGAAACCACTTTGCCCTGAAGACATTGACCTTTTCTGATAAACTCAAACCCAGAGGTTATATACACCTTTAAGGTAAGAGTGAATCAGAAGTAACTTCCATGCTTACTGCCAGGGGACTTCAAGTTGCCTGGATGCTGAGGGAAATACACACCATTCCTGAGAAATTGAAACCATCAACCAGCTTTTTGCATGGATTTGTAGCTCAAACTTGTGTCCCCTAGGATGGTCTAGAAATTCTCAACTCATAAATTTTTTTTTTAAAGTGGTCCTAGACTGGCAGTTCCTCTAGGAACCTATCTTCTGGTGAGGCCTCAAAGACTGCTCAAAAATCCTATTTCAATAATAATTAGCAGTATACAGTAAAACATAATTTAATACTATTAACCAAACACATAGGTGAAAAAGTCACCAGAAGCAAAATACAGCAGTAAAAACAAAGTTACTATTTTTAAAAGGAATAAATAGAATTTGTAGAAAGGAAAAAAAAATACAGTAATTGAAATTAGCTATACAATTGACCAGTTTAACAGATTAGACATAGCTAAAAAGAGAATTAGTGAAGTGGAGGATATGTGAAATAACTATCTAGAATGTAATTTAGAAAGACAAAAATACAGCAGATTTAAAGCATTGATTCATTGTCTTCTGATTTCTAGACTTTCTGTTGATAAATTTGATACTATTTTTTATTCTTGGTATGTGACTCCTCCTTCTTGAAAATTTTATTTTTGAGTTTTCAACAATTTTTGGCTTCCTAATTCTGAGATAATAACTTTTAGAAGGCTTATGAGGTATCTTAGTCTAACAGATCTACACAAAGACTATTTTGTGAAGGGTAAATAAATAAGACATGTATGATATTTCTCTCTAAATTTATAATGATTGAACAATGAATGAAAAAATTCTTTAGGAGAAATTAGTCTTGGGTTTTATCCAAGGCAAAATGCTTTGAAAACTAGTTTCTTGACAACATTTTAAGTGTAAAAAATAATATTAAAAAGCTATTTTTTAAATCTTCATTGTTCTGAAACTTCACAATGATATTTCTTTATGTGAATCTTTTTTTAAAAATAGAATGGATTGGGCACCTGGTGAGCCCTTTTGTCTGTGATATTTGCTCAGTTTAATATTCATTATAACATTTTAAAGACTTTTTAAGATTATTATTTTTTACTTTTGAAAAACTCTTTTTGTAGTCTTGCTATTCCTTTTTTGTGTGTGTGGCACGTGCCCCTCACAGGAACCGAACCTGGGACTCTCTGGTCTGTAGGCCGACACTCAACTGCTGAGCCAAGCTGGCCAGGGCTGACTATTTCTTTTTACATCTTCTTGTTCTTGTTTCATGAATGCTATACCCCCTTTCATCTCTTTAATGATATTAATTTTAGCTTAAATTTAAAAAGTTTTATTTTCTTTATTTTCTCTGTATCCTCTGAGTGTAATTGCTTTGGTTTCCATATCTTCTGACATTTCTCCAAATATCCAGTGCTCTCTGGCTGTATGTCCATATTTAAGAGAGAAACAACAGAGTTGACTGTTAGCTTTGCATCAGTTGCCATGTCTTGGAGAGTATGGGCCTCACCGTAGGGAAATTGGTTGCTGTCATTTCACTGTGGAGCATCTAAACAGCAGACCCTCTAGGTATTTTCTTTGATTAGATCAGATTCTCCTGTCTATTTCTTGGGAGCCTACGAGAGGTAGGCAGCTATCATTTAACCTTCTAAGATATCAATTTTCATTCCATTCCTTGATTTCAGCGTTGGGCTTCTGCCCTCAGCTGTGTTTGGTTCTCTAGTCCATAGTGTTGTTCAGGTTTAACCTCCCCATGAACAAACCTTCCGTCTTCTGCCAGGGTGAGGAGGTGCTGCATGGGGTAGGAGGGCATCTAAATTGTACCTAGGGAGGCTCTATCGAGTCCTCCTGTTCTCAGTCACTTTCAATGGTATTTCTAGTTATTGAGCCTTTCTGCAGTTTCACAATGCAAACTAGCTTTCTCCGGGGCTCCCCTCACTTCCAACTTACGTTCCAGTTTTTCGTTGCTGTGCTGGGTCAATTACCGCTCATCCATTTGCTCCGTAACTTTCAAATGTTGTCCTTATCTTCTCTCTCTCTCTCCTTGTGCTCCTCTCGTTCATGGGTTTACAACTTTAAAAAGTCTCATAAATATCATTTTTTTAGAATCTTAGAAGGAGGGAAGCTATACAAATGTGTTCAGTCTTACATTTTAAATCCAAAGTTCCTGGAAACATTTGTCTTTATCTTTTCTCTGTTTACTTCAATGTTTCCAATTGGGGAATGCATATTGCAAATATTTATGAAAACGCTAATAGTGTCTCTTCTCCGGCAATGTGTTTGTTTTCTGGAACATTTTAGGTGTCTGGCTGAGGATGCGGGAGACGTCGCATTTGTGAAAGATTCCACTGTCTTGGACAACACCAATGGTAAGTGAAGATGTTTCTCTTTCCCCTTCCGAGCGGTCTTTTCCATTGCAGCACCTCCTAGCATTCATGTCTGCAGCTGGGAAGATAGGAGTTTTCCAGACTTTTGGTTAATTTTGACATTTTTTACTTTGGTATACAACATGGCAATATCTATAGGCGTCACACTGATTTTGACCCCCCCCCCCCCACAAACCCACAAACACACACCAGCAATACGCAGTAGCAATGACTCCTGGCTTTGTGTAGACAACCACAGAAGCATACCATCTGCCTGTCCCAGCCTACGGAAGACTGAGTGTGGATGATACTTCAAAAACAAAAAATAGTCTGACATATGCAAATAAAATTTCCCCTTAAAAAAGGAAGTAGGGACCTTCACTCAGCCCCATGTGAGTTCCCATATGGAAACTCCTCTGGAGTAAAAAAATCACAGCAGATACAGATGGTGGAAGATCATCTACCAGCCAGTGGTGAATAATCATTCTCTTCCGTCCCACTCAGCTTCCCCATTCCTCCTCCTCAGCAGGTGCCCTGCCATTTTGTCCCCGTAGAAAGAATTGCCCCAACTTTCTGCCTTCCTCCTTCAAAGATATAAATAGTCACAGCCACTCCTTCCTCCTCATGTCTCTTGGGACAAGGATTGAGGCCAGACATGTAAATCTGAAATGACCCAATATCAAATGGACAAAGCCAAGAGAGTGGATGGAGGGTTTTCTTGAGAGATGGCAGGAGAGTAGCAGAGGCCTGAACAATGAACCTGCATTTGCACACACACAGCACGCATACAGTTCCACTAGAATTTATGAACCGTCCATCTGTGCATTTGCACACTCACAGGCACGCATACAGTTCCACTAGAATTTATGAACCGTCCATCTGTGCATTTGCACGCTCACAGACACGCATACAGTTCCACTAGAATTTATGAACCGTCCATCTGTGCATTTGCACGCTCACAGACACGCATACAGTTCCACTTAGAATTTATGAACCATCCATCTGTGCATTTGCACACTCACAGACACGCATACAGTTCCACTAGAATTTATGAACCGTCCATCTGTGCATTTGCACACACACAGGCACGCATACAGTTCCACTAGAATTTATGAACCGTCCATCTGTGCATTTGCACGCTCACAGACACGCATACAGTTCCACTTAGAATTTATGAACCATCCATCTGTGCATTTGCACACTCACAGGCACGCATACAGTTCCACTTAGAATTTATGAACCGTCCATCTGTGCATTTGCACGCTCACAGACACGCATACAGTTCCACTTAGAATTTATGAACCATCCATCTGTGCATTTGCACACTCACAGGCACACATACAGTTCCACTTAGAATTTATGAACCGTCCATCTGTGCATTTGCACGCTCACAGGCACACATACAGTTCCACTTAGAATTTATGAACCGTCCATCTGTGCATTTGCACGCTCACAGGCACGCATAGAGTTCCACTTAGAATTTATGAACCGTCCATCTGTGCATTTGCACGCTCACAGGCCTGCATAGAGTTCCACTTAGAATTTATGAACCGTCCATCTGTGCATTTGCACACTCACAGGCACGCATACAGTTCCACTAGAATTTATGAACCGTCCATCTGTGCATTTGCACGCTCACAGACACGCATACAGTTCCACTAGAATTTATGAACCGTCCATCTGTGCATTTGCACGCTCACAGACACGCATACAGTTCCACTTAGAATTTATGAACCATCCATCTGTGCATTTGCACACTCACAGACACGCATACAGTTCCACTAGAATTTATGAACCGTCCATCTGTGCATTTGCACACACACAGGCACGCATACAGTTCCACTAGAATTTATGAACCGTCCATCTGTGCATTTGCACGCTCACAGACACGCATACAGTTCCACTTAGAATTTATGAACCATCCATCTGTGCATTTGCACACTCACAGGCACGCATACAGTTCCACTTAGAATTTATGAACCGTCCATCTGTGCATTTGCACGCTCACAGACACGCATACAGTTCCACTTAGAATTTATGAACCATCCATCTGTGCATTTGCACACTCACAGGCACACATACAGTTCCACTTAGAATTTATGAACCGTCCATCTGTGCATTTGCACGCTCACAGGCACACATACAGTTCCACTTAGAATTTATGAACCGTCCATCTGTGCATTTGCACGCTCACAGGCACGCATAGAGTTCCACTTAGAATTTATGAACCGTCCATCTGTGCATTTGCACGCTCACAGGCCTGCATAGAGTTCCACTTAGAATTTATGAACCGTCCATCTGTGCATTTGCACACTCACAGGCACACACACAGTTCCACTTAGAATTTATGAACCGTCCATCTGTGCATTTGCACGCTCACAGGCCTGCATACAGTTCCACTTAGAATTTATGAACCGTCCATCTGTGCATTTGCACGCTCACAGGCACGCATAGAGTTCCACTTAGAATTTATGAACCGTCCATCTGTGCATTTGCACGCTCACAGGCACGCATACAGTTCCACTTAGAATTTATAAACCGTCCATCTGTGCATTTGCACGCTCACAGGCCTGCATACAGTTCCACTTAGAATTTATGAACCGTCCATCTGTGCATTTGCACGCTCACAGGCCTGCATACAGTTCCACTTAGAATTTATGAACCGTCCATCTGTGCATTTGCACGCTCACAGGCACGCATACAGTTCCACTTAGAATTTATAAACCGTCCATCTGTGCATTTGCACGCTCACAGGCCTGCATACAGTTCCACTTAGAATTTATGAACCGTCCATCTGTGCATTTGCACACTCACAGGCACGCATAGAGTTCCACTTAGAATTTATGAACCGTCCATCTGTGCATTTGCACGCTCACAGGCACACATACAGTTCCACTTAGAATTTATGAACCGTCCATTTGCATTTGCACACACACAGGCACACATAGAGTTCCACTTAGAATTTATGAACCGTCCATCTGTGCATTTGCACGCTCACAGGCACACATACAGTTCCACTTAGAATTTATGAACCGTCCATCTGTGCATTTGCACACACACAGGCACGCATAGAGTTCCACTTAGAATTTATGAACCGTCCATCTGTGCATTTGCACGCTCACAGGCACGCATAGAGTTCCACTTAGAATTTATGAACCGTCCATCTGTGCATTTGCACGCTCACAGGCCTGCATAGAGTTCCACTTAGAATTTATGAACCGTCCATCTGTGCATTTGCACGCTCACAGGCCTGCATAGAGTTCCACTTAGAATTTATGAACCGTCCATCTGTGCATTTGCACGCTCACAGGCACACACACAGTTCCACTTAGAATTTATGAACCGTCCATCTGTGCATTTGCACGCTCACAGGCCTGCATACAGTTCCACTTAGAATTTATGAACCGTCCATCTGTGCATTTGCACGCTCACAGGCACGCATAGAGTTCCACTTAGAATTTATGAACCGTCCATCTGTGCATTTGCACGCTCACAGGCCTGCATACAGTTCCACTTAGAATTTATGAACCATTGATCTAAGTGATCTCCACAGATCAGATGTCAAATTTAATTTTAAACTTCCATAGGATTTTACAACTGTATTTTATTGGAACTGACTATATTTGAGAAACTCTTCCTTTCTCTGGTTATTCTGAGAGCATTTGACTATGAAAGGAAAGAGGAAACAGTTTCTTCCTGAACATAAACCAGCTATTCTTATTCTGGAACTCACAGGAAAATATGGCACAGATGGAAAGTTTTCTTCTTAAAAACTAAAAATTTAACAGCTTTATTGAGATACAATTCATGTACCGGAAGTCTACCCGTTCAAAGCGTTCCATTCAGCGGTCTCAGTACAACCATCAGCACAGTCCAGTTCTAACGCTCACATGGCTGCACAGCGAAACCCATGTCCAGACAAGCCCCCAGCCTGGCCAGCATCTCCATGTCGGCCTTGTCATACACTGAGCGACACTCAGTGAAAACAACCCGGGGCTACGGGCAGGCACTTCCCCACTCCCCCAGAGCTGGCCGCCACCCACCCACTCCTGTCTCCCCAGATCAGCCTCTTCCAGACATGTCACATACACGGAATCCTACACTCTGTGGCCTTTTGTGACTGGCTTCTTTCACTGGGCGTCGCGTTCTCAAGGCTCACCTGTATGTAGCGTCAGTACTTCACTCCTTGTGACGGCGGAACTCATTTCGTTGAATGGATACCGCATTAGCGTGCGATACGTTTGACCGGGCTTTCTCCCCTCTCCACATCGCCAAACCCAGTGCGTGCATTTCGAGAGGCCAGTGGAGGGTGACACCCACCCAGAGGGACCCTTTGACCGCCGCCACCTTCTTCTCTCCCCAGGAAAGGGCACGGAAGCCTGGGCGGATGGCTTGAGGCTGGAGGACTTTGAGCTGCTGTGCCTTGACGGCACCCGCAAGTCTGTGGCTGAGGCCGAGACCTGCCACCTGGCCAGAGCCCCCAGCCATGCCGTGGTGTCTCGGAAAGACAAGGTGGAACACGTGGAGCGGGTGCTGCTGGAGCAACAGGTACGGACCCTCAGGGCCTCGGCCCTTTCCGAACCGCACGGGCTTCTGTCGGGCGGGCACTCACAGCGCTGGGTCGGTCAGCCCACGACAAGCCAGTGGTGACCGTGTTTGCTTCATGCGGTGCGGCTGCCCAGGGTCCCAGTGAGGACAGCAGAGGCTTCTGCCCCGGGATTTCCGGGACTGACCTAACGTCTGCCCCGAGTCTCCTGTCCCTGACTTGGGCGCACGGCCCGGCTCAGCTAGGAGCCTTCCTCCCAGCTCGGCAGAGTTGCTCAGTCAACGCTCCCGAGTCTGGGCCGACGGAGTCCTGCTGGTCATCGCTAGAACGGCAGACCCAGAACGCCTGAAGCTGTCTGGCTCTGTGAGAAGTGGTGGGAAGGAACGCCTACCGCTTCCTTCCAGTCTGGGACTCTATTCGAACTGCCAGTCTTGTATGAAAGCATCATGCCTCTAGGTGTGTTAAAGACAGGGGCCCTGGAATGTCCGCCAGGCACAGGAGTGGCGTTCACGGAGCCCTCACGGTGGCCCACGCACTGCTACTGGTACGAGGTCTGCTGGCACCGAGATGGCCACGTCCCAGCTCAGCCCTGTGGGAGCTCTGGGCACGGAGGCTAAGTGACCAGCCCAAGGCAGTGACCTGGTTGGCGGCAGGTGATCTGCCTCTGGGAGAGCCGGCCGCTGGGAATGCCGTGATGATCAATGTTTGGGGCTAAGTCAGAAACCCTCACCTGTCACTTAGTCACCCCAGCAAGTTCAGGGAAAGAGGCCACAGATGAGGAAGGAAGGAGAGATGGCGGGAGGGGAGATCAGAGTGGCTGAGGGCCTGGGTGCTGCCCAGGGTGAGTCTGTCACCTGGGGCTCAGGCTGCAGGAGGACGCGGGGCAGGGGACACTCTGCCAAGGCAGTGGCTCCGTCCGGCCAGTGTTTGTCCCAGGGCTGATCCTGGACGGGGGACACGTCCTTGGCCTCCCTCACCCATCCACTCGCCTGCCCTCCTCGGCCTCTCACGTGCTGTCTGTCCTTCGACACAGGCCAGGTTCGGAAGAAATGGACAGAACTGCTCAGGCACGTTTTGCTTGTTCCAGTCGGAAACCAAAAACCTTCTGTTCAACGACAACACTGAGTGTCTGTCCAAACTCCATGGCAAAACGACGTATGAAAAGTATTTGGGAGCAGAATATGTCAGGGCCGTTGCTAATCTGAGAAAATGCTCCACCTCCCGTAAGTGGACGTTAATAAGACATCATGGAGCGTTGCAAGGCCGGGCGACGGCTCTGAGATTCTGTGCCCCCCGATCACCCAGAGTCGGGGGCACTGGCTGGGGCGGGGGGCTGTGGTCCAGGGAAGGGGGTAGGGCCAAGAATCTCTATATCAGTGGCTCTCAACTTGGGCGATTTTGCCCTCAAGGGGACTCCCGGCAATGCCTGGAGATATTTTTGATGCTCATAACTTAGGGGGCACTGCTGGTACCCGTGGGTAGAAGCCAGGGAAGCACAGATCGGCTCTCACAATGAAGAATTCCCCGGCCGCAGAGGTCGTGCCAAGGTGGAGAAGCCTGCCCTCTGTCCGCGAGGTCTCGGGGAACTATGCTGCAGGTGGTTCTGGGGCTGCACTTGGAGAAACAGCTGCAGGCATTCTTGCAAGCAGCCAGCTCACAACCACATCTGCACACCCCTGAGGGCAGGGCCTTTCTGTCCCACCCGAGCCCTCGGCCTTAGCACAGTGGCTCGTTTGTGAACAAATGAGCGAATGAGCAGGTGAACACTATTGCCAACAGATCTGCATAAAGATGGCGTGTTAATTGCTCACATGCCAGAGATTAGGGGACCATCACCGTCGGTTAGAGAGAAGTTGGGTGGTGGTGCTCAGTCCCAGAGCAGGGCCCAGCCATGTTGGCGAGGGCCGCAGCTGCCGAGTGCTTCCTTGGGCCATGGGCAAGCGAGGGCAGCCCAGCATTAGCTCATGGTGGTGGGAAAAGGGCAGAAGAAAGTCTCTGTGTTAGTGTCCTCCTGGATGAACTTGTTGATTCAAGAAGAAATCAGTTTCTAATCTCCTGCTTTGTTGTGTCCATAGCCCTTCTGGAGGCCTGCGCCTTCCTGAGGAGGTGAAGCCCAGGAAGACGGCCCCGCCCCCCGGGAGCCCCGCCCCCGGGAGCCCCGCCCCCAGGAGCCCCGCCCCCAGGAGCCCCGCCCCCGGCCTGCTGCGCCCTCCCCCTCCGGAGGGGCAGCTCACCAGTCACCCCTGCTTTCACAGTTCCCTGCTGTCATCTTAGCAAGAAATAAAGTCAGAAGTGCTGTTGGCTTTCATCCCTCATTAAGCATCTTTCACCTTTGATGAAATCTGATACTGAAATCTGGTGTCTGACCAGCTACCCTCATGGTTGGACCTTCCCCCCAGCTCTCAGTCCTCCCCTTCCCACAGTCTTGGGTGTGCCGGATGTTCCGGAATCTAAGGCCAGGCCAGGAGCTGTTCTCTCCGCGGACGTTTCGTTGGACATCGACATAGTTGTCTCAGTGTGCGTGTGCGTGTGTGAGAGTGCGTGTGAGCGTGTGCACGTGCACGTGCACGTGAGTATACGTGTGTGCATGTGTGAGCGTGTGGGTGTGTGCATGTGTGCACGTGTGTGAGAGTGCGTGTGAGCGTGTGCACGTGCACGTGAGTATACGTGTGTGCATGTGTGAGCGTGTGGGTGTGTGCATGTGTGCACGTGTGTGAGAGTGCGTGTGAGCGTGTGCATGTGCATGTGCACGTGCATGTGAGTATATGTGTGTGCATGTGTGAGTGCATGGGTGTGTGCATGTGTGCACGTGTGTGAATATGTACGTGCATGAGTGTGCACGTGTGTGAGTGCACATGGTGCATGTGTGTGAGTGAGAGTGTGTGTGTGTGAGTGTGAGTTATTGCATGTGTGTGTATTTCTAGGGCAGGGGAGGGAATAGAGAACAGGAATCCAGGGTCAGTGGAAGAAACAGGATATCAAGAAGACTGGCCCGTATTTGGTATTTTAAGTAAACAGCAGCAGGTGTAGTAAATATAAAAATATTGGCATCACAGGAAAATGTGAAAAACTTCTATCCCCTGGCCTTATTGGCCCCCCTCCTCTGGCTAATCTCTCAGCACTCGTCCCCCCACCTTTTCTCAGCCACCCTCTTCAAACGCGGTCTATGCGGCTGGCTTCCCTTTCTCCAGCGGGTGGGGTGGGGGGTGGCCACCCTGGCATTCTCTCTCCACCCGCTGTGGTTCGATTCAGACCTGTTCTCTCTCCTGCTTGGTTCTGGAAAGGGCACCCCTGCCTCTCAAGCCTAGTGTCCCCTGTGTGTCCTGTGTGTCCCCATGCTTTCCTTGTCCCGATGCCACCAGAGGGAGCACCAGATGGCTGGTTCTAGCTACAACTGCACAGCCTCCCTCACTGGGGCAGCGGGGTCCATGCTGTGCAGATCCCTGCCGTCACCAGGCCAGCAGCCCTCAGGCGAACACCCAGGGCAGTGTTTTCGTGCTGGGAGGGCACACGGAGAGGGCAGCACCCGGGAAGGAAAGGGTGGTGGCGATCAATAATGGGCAGCAGCTGGCGTGGGGGGAAGACACGTCCGGGGGAAAGGGAGGCCCCGGAATCCATGGACTTCCAGGAAGACCCCGAGCCCTGTGCCATGCGGGAGACCAGCACCAGGGCTGTGCTATCTGAATTTAAAGGAGAATTCCCCCTCCAAAGTTGGAGGGTGTGGAGACTTGGGTAAGGCAAGGCTAGATGGAGAAAGGGGTGGAAGCACATTTCCTTCCGCTGCAGCTTCCCCGGGTACTGGTCAGAGCGTCTGTGCCGAAGGAGCCCACGTGGGGACTCGTCTCAGCAGAGGACGCCCCTCTGAAGGGCTGCAGAGATTCCGTGAGTCTCGTAGCCTGGGGTGCGGGTGGGGACACAAAGCCCAAGCTGTGCCCACGGTGAAGTCTCTCAGTCGGGGTCTCGGTTTCCTGAAGTTAGACATGTGCCCGGAGCCCCGGAGCCGCTCAGATGCTCTCCCTCCAGCCGCCCCGTGCCCAGGCCCCGCAGCCCAGCCCCCGACCTGCCACCAACCTTCGGCCCCGGTCTTTCCTGCTCACACGTCCTTGAGCCCCAAGTTGCTCACTGTCTTCCCGGAGAGCTCACCCCAGCGTCCTGCCTCCTCTACGCCTCCAGCCCCTGGCAGGGCCACACCGATGTCACATAACGTCCTGAGTATGTTACATGGGCTCCTTCCTTCTTGAAATTCCCTGCGCCCCGGGTTCCCAGAAGATTCCGCCTCCTTCCGCGTGTCCCTGTGGAGAACGACCCCTGAAGATTTGGGAATGTGATCTGACCCTCGTAGGCAGACCTCTGGCCTCAGAAACCCAGAGAGGAATGCTCTCTTGGCCAGTGGTTCTGCTCCAGGCCCTTGTCTGAAGAGTTGACTTTTCCAGAGCTAGGTTGTGCTACTTCAACTGCAAAGTACAAAAACAAACAGAAACCAAACCCCAAACCGGTCTCAACTTTCTGTTTCCTCCTCACTGAGTTGGGAGAGAGCCTGAGGGGGTCATACCCTAATATTTCAAATTATTAAATGTAAGATACGTTTTGTCCTCCACCCTCGACTGCCAGAGAAAGGGGGAGAAGGCAGACAAGGCAAGCGAATATGACCCGTGGGGCGGGAACACTGTCCCAGCAGGCTTTACTCCAAGGACCCAAGGACCCACGGACAGGCAGACACACTCCGCAGGGCCACACGGCGCAGGGCGGGCCGAGCCTTTCCCGACGCTGCCCTTCTCGCCGCCTCTGCCCCCCGGCGCTACGGCCGAGCCCTGCTGCACAGAGCTGGGAAGAGAGCCAAAGAGGGTACAGGGCACCTCCTTTTCTGAGCCCGACCTCGTCAGGGGAAGCCACGCCGTCCCCATCTTCCTGACGTGGAATTAACCTGTATGTGTCAGGGGTCTTCAGACAACCCGAACCACTGAGACTCCAAAGGACGGCTACATGGAAGAGGCCGGCACATGTGTGCCACACAGGACGGGGCAGGGCAGTGGCTCGGGAAACACACGGGAGGAAGCAGCTGCAAAGCGTCTCATGGTGCCTGGTCCGAGAGCAGCCAGCGGACCACCTTGCCAGCCCATAGAGGGTTCTGGGCAAAGTCTGGGGGCGGTGCCCTTTCCTGGGTATGTGTATGTACGGCCCCCTTCCAGGGATGGCGGCCTGGTGAGCGATGTGGGTTGGATTTTGGCCCCTGTGTGCCCCACATCTGGGTGCTGTGGGCAGGGCTTGGCCTGCACAGCTGCACGGGCCACCACAGAGACAGAACACTGACCAGGGACAGGGTGGCCCCGACCCCTCCTTTCCCTCTCCCGGTGACCTCTGTGACATCTCAGTTTCTCTTGCACCGAAGCTACTTTCCCTTAGAGAACCGTGTAGTTGCTTCCAGGATGGGCTCCCGAGGGGGAATCAGACACGTTTCTTCTCAGATGCACTCCGGTCAGGCCACGGCTTTATCTTGTATCGCCAGTGACTCCGTGGCCCAGCAGTGACTCCACGGCTCCCACGCCAGGCCACGCCAGGCCACGTCTTCAGGACTCTTTTGGGTTCATGTCCTTAACATCTTTGTATCTATCTAAATGGTATGGGCACAGCAATTCTGAACTCTTTTATGTGTGTGTAGAATCGAGAAAATGAGTCAGTGTGTTGATGTTCTTGGGACCTAGAGTGACTGTGGAGGCAGGAAAATGGAAACACGTAACGGAGAAAACAGGGCAGACCTGTGGGGTGAACTGCAACCGGAAGTATTGGTGCAGACTTAGCATTTAGGTAAACAATTTTTTTTTTTTGGTAATACAGGTCTACTAATGAGAAGAATGAGATTCTTTTTTTGGAGGATAAAATTTTGCTTAAATGGGGCTCAAAGTCAGTATTCCTTATTATTAAAATTGACTGCAAATGTTCATCGGTTAATACTGATCTGTAGTGAAATTTTACATTATTTCATTTTTGAAAATGTCTTTTCTAATAGGTGCTGCCCAATACTGATGCGAGTGTGCAAGTATGTGATTTTAATTGTGCATATTTATCACTTGGAAGAAATGTATTGCATTACATCCTTCTCTTGGTGTTTGCCTTCGAGCAAGGCAGTCAGGTGGTGCAGATGATTGTTCTTCAGGTGCACAAACTGACTCTGAAACATGGAAATCTCTTTGTCTTTGCATTGAGGTCTGAAAAACACCTGGGCCAGTAGTGTGAGCTCAGAAAATAAATCTGATACAAATTTTGTATGAAAATAGAGATCTCATTTATCTGAACTTCTATTGTATGGAAAGTGTGGCTTGACATTTCTTGTGATTTAAACATTAGTTGCCAAGTCACTTTGTGGCTGTATGTGTTTCATATGTAAGTGTGATTTTGCCTTGTAATTCTAGGTTGAGTTTATTAAGAAAATAAGTTTGCAGAAAAAGCTAATTTTCAGAGCCATTCAGTGTTCTGCAAGGTAGATCAGGACAGTCCTTCTTGTTCCAAATAATTCCAGTCCTGGCCTTGACCTTAAACTATCATCAAATGGCTTACTATTGCTAAGCCATCAAACTACTGTATGGCAGGGTGAATCCAGAGATTACATTTTTATTTCTGGGAAAAAAAAGAAAGATCCACAGAACTGATGATGGTTAAATCCATGTGAGTAAATGAAGTTCATGTGGACACTACTGGTTTAATGCACAATCATGTATTAAAATATTTCCTACAAAGTACCACTCATGAATAATCACAGACTTTAAACACCTCCCATTTTCAAAAACTCTGTAAATTTGTCCAGCTAAGCCTTTTTCTGCTTAACACATATTTTAACCACCATCAATCGTAACACATCTTAGCAGATTCCACTTCAGATTGTTCTGAATGAGTTCTTTCTCAATTTCTTTGAAAATATTTTCGCCTGTAGTTACTGCATGTAGCCTATTTATGGAGGCTAATTTTTCACACACTTAAAACTCACCATTGACTCCTCAAACAAAAAACAATTGACAGCATCTGTAACATCTGTCAACCTGTCAAAAGCCATGGAAAACCATTCAAAATCATTTGTTTCATTAAGAAAAAAATTGACTATTGGTATTGTTTCTTCAAGCAGACATCACCAAAGAAAAGTTAACAGACTTAAATGAGTTTATTTTCTCTGGACAAATATATATATATATATTTACTGTTTCAATCAAACAATTTAATTAACCCAACATAGTTAAATGGCTTTCCTTGCTTGGCTAACCAATGAACCATTCAGAAAATTACTTTGCTTACAGCCTGGTGGTATGCAAAACGAGCTAGTCACAGAAGTACTTACATTATGAGAATGAGACTATTTATATAACCTTTAAAACCATCGAAAACAACACTATGTTTTGCTTATGAGTACCTGTGGTAAAAACGGAAAACTGTGGCAGGGAGGGAGGGAGCAGATCTATGAGGCGCCGAGTGCTCCCCTTGCCCCGAGACACAGCCTGTGGGCCGCTCCAGAGGCAGCGCCGCCGGCCAGGCCCTGGCCCCGGCTGGGGAGGAGCCAGCCCTCCCAGCTTCAGGCGGTTGGTGGGATCTGGGTGCCCGCCCCTAGGGGTGTGCTGCTGGCCTTTCCAGCTGAAAACAAACAGCTTCTGAGGGTCTTTACTACAGGGTTCGAAATAGGGCCCCGGCTGAAGTGCCGATTTGTCCCAGCAGAAACCACACCTGAAACTGCCCTGCAGCGGAAGTGCCCACTGGTTACGTTCACAGTGGTCCGCTAACATTCTCCAAGTCCATGTGGCTTCTGCACAAACCAAACCGGCCCTTGGAATGGGGGTGCTCCCCCTCATCTTTCAAGTCCTCGCAGGGATCCCTCCAGACAAGCAGAGTGTTTCTGTTGAGCATTTTGTCAGGTAGAGGCAGTTCCGATGGCCTCCACGTGCCCTTTTCCCCCGTGACTGCCCTCACTCTGCCCACAGGCCAGAGAATCAATGTCAGGTGCTGAGAGTGTGTTCTGGAGCTGGGGGAATAGCTGTTAGATTCGTTCAGGGACCGTTTGGACCCACTGAGACAGACCTGAACGAAAACTCCAGCGATCACTCAGTCTCTGGCAGCCTGAGAGGGGCGGGTCTTATCCCAGGGGTCTGAGGCTCAGAGAAGCCAGATGGCTTATGTTAAGTCCCACAGGAAGACACAGACACCCCTTCCCAGCCCCTCCTGAGTGGTGGCTTTTAGGGAAGTGACCCATGCCCCAGCTTGTAGCTAAAGGCCAAACCTCAGGGAAGCATCAAGGGTTTAATTTGGATCAAAGCTTTCCTTCTGTTAGATGTGCCAGAGATAGTTCTTTGGAGAAGTTTGTTTTTCTCAGTGTCTATAAATGGGCGGCCGAGGGGAGCAGCGATGATAGCACCCGCCGTCCCCCAGTCCTTTGGACCGCTGCAGAGTCCAGCACAGTGATCCACGGGAACTCACTCTGTCCTGCGGACATGCGAGGAAGTACTACTGGGTGGGCCGATGGGCAGGAGAGGAAAGAACACAGATGTCAGAAAGTGACAAGCCCGGATTGTGACGTGGCAGCTGTGACTTAAGCCTCAGTTTCCACTCTTCTAAAATGAGGCCGATGAGACTCAATTTTCTCTGTAAGACTGCGATGCAGACATGATGTCTGTGAAGGTGCTTTGTAAGGGATGAAGCTCTATTAAAATTCAGGAAGGGGTGGGCAGTTCCTAGGAGGGGAGAGAACATGGGCTCACGTGGCTACATCACATTTGAAAAAAGAAAAAGGCAAAATTGTTTGTTGTGTAATGGAAATTCAAATTGAACTGGGCACCCTGAATTTTTTTTTTTTAACTTTAAATGTTATTGCTTTTTCATTCACTCTATTGTGTTTCCTGTTTTCAAATGTGCTCCATTTGTGCCCACAAATAAACAGAATTGAGGTGAGAAGAGAGGTGTTCGTGAGATTTCAATCGTTCTCTCAAATGTCACCGATAAGAATGACAACTTGGTAGGACATTTTTTTGCATTAGGAAATAATTTACAGTCAAAACAGAAACACTATCAGTTTTTCTTGAATACACTAGCCCCCTTCTCTGTTTATTGGTTGTTAATTTTCTAATGTGATCATTTTTAGAGAAGCATGTGTTATTTTTTACCTTTAGGATAACTGTCTTTGTTTTCTGACACGGGAGGAAGACCTCACTGAATTATTAACATTCTCATTACTTGTGTCGGCTGTTGCAGCTGAATCGTCCATCACAAAGTTTTGATTTTTAATAACCATTTTACCCTCAGTCATTGTAAGTTTGTGGATAGATCCTTATTCTCTATACACTCTGTTTTCATTCTGAAAATTCCAACAGGATCTGTTGAGCTCATCACTGTGTCTATAAACATCTGCAAATGATACTGTTTTCTCTGAGATTCTGTCCCACGTGTGGTGGAGGGGTGGAGAGTGCTAACCCACCTGTGTAGATTTGTGGAAATGTCTCTGTCCCTTTTCTTTCTCTTCTTTAAAAATTTTTTTTTTCTTTATTGATATTAGACAGAGAGAGGAAGGAAGGAGAGATAGAAACATCGATGAGAGAGAACAGTGATCGGCTGCCTCCTGCCTGCCCCCCACTGGGGATCGGGCCCTGACCGGCGATCTCTTAGTGCATGGGCTGACACTCAACCACTGAGCTACACCGGCTGGGTCCCCCGCCATTTTCATTTGCTATTTAATGGCATTCTGGAGGAGTCTTGGCTTAGTCTGCTTGGGCTGCCGTAATACAATACCAAGGACTGAGTGGCTTAAACAACAGAAATTTATTTCTCATACTGCTGGAGGCTGGGAAGGCCAACATCAAGGTGCCAGCGTAGCCAGGTTCTGGGGAGAGCCCTCCTCCTGGCTCGCAGATGGCCACGTTTGCACTGCACTCACATGCTGGAGAGAGAGGATCAGGAAGCTCTTTGGCCTCTTCCTATGAGGGCACTAATCCCATCACGAGGGCCCCACCCTCATAAATTTATCTAACTCTAATGACCTCCCAATGTCCCTATGCCCAAATGGCATCATGTTGGGGGTTGGGTTCAACATATAAATTAGGGGGGCACAGTTCATCCATAGCCTCCCCTCAAGATGTGGAGGAGCGGTGCTTGCTATAGACTGTGTTCCTATGGGGTCTCCCCAGATGTCACCTCCTCTTCCGCCCTCCTCAGTATGGAGGTGAAAGGTTGGGGTCCATGGACATCCATGTTTTCTCCGTCAGCTCTACCTGGGACATGTGACAGAAACGCGGGCACTGGATTTCCCCACGCAAACACTTGTGATGTTTTATAGTCACAGGCTGGTGAAGCCTGAGGCCTATGTTACACTGAAAAGGACTAAACATGCATTGCGTTAACTATTTCTTCCTAAACCTATTGTGCACTTACTATTGTTAAATAACAGAAAGATGCAGTAGAAAGATGGGAGGCTCCCAAGTTGAGGGCGCCTGAGGGTCTGGCGGGGGGAGCAGCCAGGAACACCCAGAGAAGGGCCGCAGACCATGTCCTCTACCTGCCTTTGTCCAGCGCCCCCCGCCAGGCGGCTCTTCACCTGTCTGCAAGAACACGTGCCTAAGAAATGCTTCTAGAAGAATGGGTCGCTTCTAATATGAAATGTGGTCCGACTGGTTTCAAAAGTACATATTCATTCCATGTGTTTTCTTGCTCAGTATTTGGAAGTTTGGAAGGCTGGACACAGCACAGGCTCGGGAGTGAACAACAACGAGGTCTGTGTCCCAGCCCTGCCTCTCCGACTCTGCGGTCTGAGACACATTTTTGAGCTGCCGGTTCCTCCGCAGAGAAATGAGACCAATTCCACCCACACACCGTGGACGGGAAGCGAGGCGTGAAGTTCACGTTTGTAAAGAGCCTAACACAGCACCTGAGACAAAGCCAATGCTTGGTAAATGCCTGCTCACCCCCCATCCCTGAACCGACCTCATGCACGCGTGCAGAACAATGAGGGAGCCTCTGCTCTTGCTCCGAGGGCGCTAATCCCATCACGAAGGCCCCACCCTCTAACCGCATCCAACCCTAATGGCCTCCCAAAGCCCCTGTGCCCAAATGGCAGCACCTGGGGGGTTAGTGCTTCAACATATAACATGGGGGGGGCACAGTTCACCCACAGCCACGACATATAAAACAGAGCAGTGAGGAACAAAGCAGCGTTCGTCTGTCCCGCCGTTGGCGGGGCCGGGTTACAGTGCAGTGCAGTGGTCACCTCCGGCCTGCGGCGGCGCTCGGGCAGGGCCCTCGGCGGGCGGGAGCGGGGCGTCGCCACACAGGCAGCAGAGCCGGTCCCGAAAGGCCTTGTCGAGGAGCACGTGGAGGAGCGGGTTGACGCAGCAGTGCGTGCTGGCGATGATCCTGGTCACCTGGATGCTCCTGTCCAGGTCGTAGCCGCTCCTGCAGTCGTGCAGGGAGAAGGACTCCTTGAAAGTGGACAGGAACAGCGCGACATTGTAGGGTCCCCACATCAGAAGGAAGACGGCCATTACGGCGAAGACAAGCTTGAACAGGTCAGACCTCCGCTCCCTGCACCTCAGCGTCTCTCTCATCCGCACGAAGCAGACGATGAAAACCAGCAGCGGGACGAGGAGCGCCGCCACGTTCACCTTCAGGGTCAGAAAGTGCTCCCAGAACGGCCCCCGGGCCGGCAGGAAGTGTGGCTTGCTCAGGGAGCACGCGGGGTGCTGGCTGTCCACCTGCCACCCGTGGAACAGGAACTCGGGCACAGTGAGCAGGATGGCGGCCAGCCACGCCAGGACGCTGGCGATGACGCCACAGGGCACCCTCTTGGCGGCCAGCGACAAGCCTCTCACGTGGGAAAACACCAGGTAGCTGTGCAGAGTCAGAAGGGCACTAAAAAGCGCCTCGCTGTGCAGGCCCACGGAGGAAAGTGTCACGAAAACTGTACACGTGGGGTGGCCCCGAATCTCCTCGTGGGAGGCAGCACGAGCCCAGTACGGTAAGGTAAGCAAGAAACACAGGTTAGACAGTGCCAGGTTTAGGAAATAGATATTTTCCACGTGTCGGAGTCTTTTGTATTTTACCAGGATAAACACAACCAAGATGTTGTCCAGGAGGCCAACCAGGGACACCGTGGTGTAGAGCTGAGGCACCAGCCAGGACGAGAGGACTTGGGGGTCATATCGGTGGCACTGTCCTATGTCACCGTTGTCCAGATCGCCCTGTAGGACGGTTTCATTGCTATTCTGGTCTCCCTCGATGAGGACGTCGTAGTCATCGTCGGGTACAGACGTGTAGTTAGCCATCTTCGGGCCGCCCTGCAGAAAAAGGACAAGTTATTTCCCTGCATCCAGCTGCGTCCTGGGGGAAACGACAGACAGACTGATGCCCACGAAGCAAGCTCTCCCTCTTCTGGGGCTTAGCCTTAGCCAGAGGATGTCCACCGCTCAGAAGAGGGAAAATAAACATTTCTCTGACCGCCCCTCCGTCCCGAGTGTGGCTGTCCCCATCCAGGGGCAAACACAAGTAAGCGGGCGCTTCTGAGAACTTCATTCTCTTGGCAGAAGCGACACTTGCCCACTTGAGGACACCATGTAAGAAACACACAACGAAAGAGAACCAAGAACCAGTTTCACAAAATTGGTGTCAGTACTAATTCCTTCCTGTGTAAAACGTTTGCTCACCCCTGAAACGGCTTCCCTGTGACAGCTGAGAGGTCTGAGTTCTGTCGAGGACAGGAACAAATGTTTGCAAAAACGAAACCATCCCCGGCGTCCACGTGGACCCAGCTGATTAAGTAAGCAGACGGGTGACTTACCACTTGACCGAGCTGCTGTGGGAATGGCCTGGACGGTGGGAAGACCGGCTTCCTTCTGAACAGACGGTCCTGACCCTTCGGGGCAAGAGAAGCCACTGTTTGTCCCTGATAGCTCTGCCCACCAGCCACTCGCAAGCTGCCCCAGACCCTCAGGGTGTTGCTTGAGCCTCTGAGGAAACCAGGAAGTTGTTTTGTCTGCCGCCTCCCCTGCACGCCGCCTCCCCCTGCACCCCGCCTCTGATTTCCCTGTCCCCCTGGCTGCCCCAGATAAGGGAACTAAGCTATGCTGCCCCTCAGTGATATGGAGGGTGGGAGAGGAAGGCATGTGTCACCGAGCAGGGACCAGCCAGCAGCAGAGAATCGTCACCAGTAATGCCTGCAGACCCCAGGGGCCTGATGCTCAGAGACAGTGCCCGGCGTGTGCTTGGGTTTTTATTGTCACTTTGGAGAGACATATGCTTTGGCTGAAGGCCAGGGTCTGAAGAGAGGATTTCCTGGCCATGGCAGCCACAGTGATGCCCCTTGGGAAGGGGGCGCAGACAGGGGGCATCAGTGCAGTGAGTGGGGGGTGCCGTGAGCACCGGCAGGGGGAGCCAAGGAGTTAGGCAAGCTGCTAGGAGCGGATCCTCTCCTGCAGGGAGAACCCAGCGCAGGCAAATTCCACTGTGAGGCATCAAGCTGCAGCTGAGAGAATGTGAGGACAAGTTCAGCCCAGAAGGGCTGCCTGGGGGTGGCGTCTGAGGCCAGAGAGAGGAAACTGAGACGAGAGTCCAAATTTGGAGTGGCGGGAGATGGTAGGAGGGTTGTGGTGGAGAGCACGGGGACGGTTTGGAAGAAAAATGAACTGGGAAGAGGAACTTGAAATAACTGAGAAACCTGGATGAAGTCCCAGGTCAAGTCCTTGCATCTGTGATTGAGCTCAAGCGGGGACCTGCTGTTCAGATTTCTTCAGCATTCACGTCTCTGGTTAAATGACATCCTGTTAGTGCCAAAGAGGTGTTCGAGGCAGCATTCAATACAGGACGTGGACCTGTTGAAATAGAAATAGAAATAAGAAAACCATTCCGAGAAAGAAAAAATAAACACAAGACGGGCCCAGACGGACATGTGATTGAAGATTAAATTTAACTCAAAGGGAGATGCATCATGCCCTCCCCCTGCCGAGGTCAGTGCTGGTGGGAACCAGGGCCGTGACTGGTTCCCAGCGAGTCTGCCCACCTCCACCCAGTGTGGGAGTCTGAGTGAGGGTCACTGTGCCCTGGGAAGCTCTGCCCACTGGTGGCAGCTGAGGCCCTGAGACCAGCAGTGATCAGTCCCTCCTGGGACTCTACCTCCTGCGGTCCGGCTATTTGGAGTCACACCAGCCCCCAAACCCCCAAAACCTGGACTGAGTAGGTGATGGCAGCTCCTATTACCTGATGCCCACTGGTCAGTCGCAGGCAAGGGGATAAAAGTCAAGTCCAGGGTTGAGACTTGAAAAACCCCATGAAAATACCCCCTGCACGGGACGTGCTTAGTGGAGGGGAAAGGCAGGCCGCATGTGATGTTTGAGTTTCCCAAAGGAAAACACTGCTTTATGAATTCAGGATCACCCTGACTTCCTGCTCTTCGCTTGGCCTTTCGCTTTCAGTATTATTTTATTTTGGCTTGCTTCCAGCCTTCTGCGTATCCACTGGTCAGTCCCCTGTCTCCCGGGAAGCCCCAGCCTGAGACCGATCCATCACCTCCCCTCTCTCCTCCATTCTCCCTCTGAGTATGGTTTCTAAGAATAGCTAGTGAGCACCACTTTGCCAGAAAGACAGGATCCATCACTAATTTATGGTCTCCAGTCTCAACTAGCTTCCAGAGACGTTTCTACTTTCCCCGGGTAACTCTTTTGAGAATTCCCAGTGGGCACTTTCTCCTGTTTTCCATCGGCTATTTCAAGCAATTGAGAACACCCAGTCTTCTCAAACCCACCCCCACCATGTACATTCGTGCTCAGATGACTTCATCTCCTTTTCTCAGAACTCTCTCAACTTCTGGGGCCACAGCTGCACATGGACTTGGGGCTACCTCCACGGACTCTTTCCTCCGTCCGTGGACAGCGCTGCTCCGAATTTCTCCTGCGCTCTGGATGTCACCAGCTCCTATCGGTTATTTCCACATTTGGTTTTAGCTTCAACCTCTCTTTCTCTGTTGGATTCTTCAGAATTTTATTTTATTTTATTATTATTTTTTTATCCTCACCCGAGGACATTTTCCCATTTTTTTGTTCAGGTAGAGTGGGAGGGAGAGAGAGGAACAGAGAGAGAGAGAGAGAAACATTGATGTGAAAGGAACACATCGAGTGGCTGCCACCCACACGACTGACCAGGGCCGGGGACAAACTGCAACCGAAGTACGTGCCCTTAGCGGGAACCGAACCCGGGTCTCTCAGGACCGCAGGTTGACGCTCTAACCGCTGAGCCAAACCGGCCAGGGGGGATTCTTCAGAATTTTAAAATGCTCAGGTCTCTCCCTTAAAGAAAGCCTATGAACACACCCTTACCTTGCTTCTTTCCCTCTCTCTTCTGACTCAGCCTCCCTAGTTGTCCAAACTCACTGGTGCTTAGTCATCATTGTTTATTCCCTGCTCAGTCCCCTCCAGCATGGTTTCTGTCCCCACCACTCCACTGGAACTGGTCTCCCCAGAGTCACCAACAACTTCCTGTGGGGAAATGAATTCAATTGCTCAAAGTTGAGGTAACTAACACGTCACGCGCCCATAAACAGGAAGTGTCCGGTATCTCCCTACCCTGAAATACTGCAAACAAGAACCAAACCCTAAAGCCAACCACACACAAACACCCCTGCCTCTGGGGCGCCCACGCTGACGAACGGCTGCATGGTTTCCCCCCATCTTTTTGTTTAATTGTGGCAAAAGATAAATAACAAAATTTAGTGTCTTAACCATTTTTAAGCATACAGTTCAGTGTATGCTTAATGTATTAAATGTATTCATAATGTTGCGCAAACACCACCACCTTTGCTTACTGTTTTTGAAACCCTCACAGAAGTAAAAAGTATATGAGTATGGAACTTCCCAGTGGAGATGGCGGAGTGGAGCAGGATCTCACGCTCCCTCCTGCAGTGCCTTTATAAAATGCCAAAACACAGTTTCAACAAAAATTTTGCAAATTTGCCAGTAGCAACTGAACAAGAAACAGGGCACCATCTTGTTCCCAAAACTTTGAAACGTGGTGCCTTGAAGCTGTGTAGTAGGACCCTAGTCCTACTACAGATACAATAGTGAAGAAGGATGGAAATCAATGAGTCCTGAGAATTATCTCCATGCTCTTCAATGAGGAGACACAGGGACACGGGTGTGTATGTATCCCTGAGAAGAGAAAGGAAAAACACTTAGTGAGTAAAATCTCCCATATTCCAGAAGGTTTTCTAGGACTTCTCATATTCTAAGACAATGTGCTGAGTTAGGGTAATATAACACATCCCATAAGAATGGGATAGACCCTTGTTTACACTGAGTAGGTTCTGATAATAATATTTTGCTCCTTTTTAAAAAAAAATTATCTTTATTGTTCAAAGTATTATAGATATCCCTCATTTTTTCCCCCATTGACCGCCTCCTCCCCACTCCTGCCCCCTCCTGCCTTCCCCACTACTGTCTGTGTCCATTGGTTATGCATATGTGCATAGAAGTTCTTTGGTTTATCGCTTCCTGCACTGCCTCCCCCTTCCTGCTGAGGTTCGTCAGTCTAACAACCAATTTGTACTTCTTAATCCCTTCACCTTTTTCACCCATCTCCCCAAACCCCCTCCCATCTGGCAACCATCAAAAAGTTCTCTGTATCTATGAGTCTGTTTCTGTTCTGCTTGTTCATTTGGTTTGTTGACTCAATTGTTGATAGATATGTATGTATTGCCATTTTATTGTTCAAATTTTTGTTCTTCTTCCCCTTCAAGAAGACCCATCCACATTTCATATAATACTGGTTTGGTGGTGATGAACTCCTTTAGCTTTTTCTTGTCTGGAAAGCTCTGTATATGTCCATTGATTCTAAATGATAGCTTTGCAGGATAGAGTAATCTTGGTTGTAGGTTGTTGCTTTACATCACTTTGAATATTTCTTGCCACTCCCTTCTGGCCTGCAAAGTTTCTTTTAAGAATCAGCTGATAGTTTTATGGGAGCTCCCTTGTAAGTAACAAACTGCTTTTCTCTGGCTGCTTTTAAGATTCTCTCTTTGTCTTTAACCTTTTGTATTTTAATTATGATGTGTCTTTGTGTGGGCCTCTTGGGGTTCATCTTGTTTGGGACTCTCTGTGCTTCCTGGACTTGTATGTCTGTTTCCTTCACCAAGTTAGGGAAGTTTTCTGTCATTTTTTCAAATAGGTTTTCAATTTCTTGCTCTCTCTCTTCTTCTGGCACCCCCATGATGAGGATGTTGGCACCCTTGAAGTTGTCCCCAAGGCTCCTTACACTATTTTCATTTTTGGATTCTTTTTTTTTTTTGCTGCTCTGATTGGGTGTTTTTTGCTTCCTTACATTCTAAATTGATGGTTTGATTCTTGGCTCCACCTACTTTACTATTGAATCCTTGTAAATTATTATTTATTTCAGTTATTGCGTCCTTCATTTCTTACTGGTCCTTCTTTATGCTCCTGAGGCCCTCACTAAGTTCCTTGAGCATTCTTATAACCAGTATTTTGAACTCTGCATCTGTTAGATTGCTTATCTCCATTTCATTCTATTCTTTTCCTAGAGTTTTGTTCTGGTCTTTCATTTGGGACATGTTTCTTTGTCTCCTCATTTTGGATGCCTCCCTGTGTTTGTTTCTATGTATTAGGTAGAGTTGCTATGTCTCCCAGGCTTCCTGGGGCGTCCTATTATAGTAGGTGTCCTGTAGGGTCCAGTGGCATAGCATCCCTGGTCACCCCAGCTGGGCCCTCGAGGTACACCCCTCATGTGAACTGTACACCTTTCTGTTGTAATTGAGTCTTGACTGCTGTTGGCACACCAATGGGAGGGATTTACTTGAGCTGATCAGCTGCAGGGACTGGCTGTGCTCACTGAACACTGACCACTGACTACCTTAGAGGGTCAGCTGTGCAGGGACCCACCACACAGAGCAAGACTTACTTCAGCAGGGCTCTAGTACCCACTGAGTCCACCTCTTGAGTGTGTTGCTTATGGAGGTAGTTGGATCATGGTGCTTTGACGTGGTCTGAAGCTGTCCACTAGGTGTACTGACTCTGGGGCCTACTCAGAAGCATAGGCTAAAGTCAGCCATTGCCAGTGTTCTACTTGGGGCCACCAGGCATAAGCTACAAAGCGATCTGCAGATGGCTGCTTCTTGTGCTGGGCTTGGAGATGCCCAGGAAAAGCTAAGCTGTGAACCAAGGCTGGCTGCTCTGAGTGCTGGGCCTGGAGCCACTTAGCAACAGGTACTGGGCTCACTAAGACCAGATGCTGCTTGTTTGAGAGATTTTAGAAAAATCTGAAGCATGAGCCAAGATAGGTCACTCCTGTGGTAGAATGACTGGAAACAGCTTGGGTGAGGCCAAAGTTTGGGTGGGGCAGGGCCTCAGGGAATAGCCAGGGCGGGGCAAACAGCGTGAGCCAGGTTGCTGGAATCCCAGATATGGCGGCTGTCTGCCGTTCCCATGGGGGAAGGTCTCACCAAAGGAACAACGGCTTCTGCCAGCATGTCTGTCCGGAAGAAAGCTGACTCTCTAGCCCTCACCTCAATGCTGAACAACTCAGTTCTTCCCCGTGTGTGTCTGGTGCCTTTCAAGCCGCCTCCCCAACGCTGGAGCCTGGAGGGTGCGAGTCTGAGTAAGTCCTTTAAGAGGAGCTGCCTGGGGCTCCAGCAGCCTCAGGCTCCCTCAGCCTCAGTTCCTGCTGATTTTTCAGCCAGAAGTTATGGGGACTTCTCTTCCTGGCACTGGAACCCTGAGCTGGGGGCCTGGTGTGGGACGGGGACCCCTCAGTCCTCAGGGGGAACCTTCCCAGCCGAGGTGTCCTCCTGATTTTTTCCTCCACCCGTGGGTGTGGGACCCACCCATCCACCCCTCCTACCAGTCTCTTTGTGGCTTCTTTAATTTTGTAATTGTAGGACTTCCATCCAGCTCCACTTCAGGCGGCTCTGAACAATGCTTGTCCTGTAGTTTAGATGTAATTACGGTGTGGTTCTGGGTGGAGGCAACACCGTGTTTACCAGGCCACCATCTTGACCGGAAGTACGTTTTGCTCTCTTTTCAAGGATCTTGATTCCTTATAAAAATTTTCATCAGATCATGCTTTAATCACATCGTTCAGGGTTTAATCGGGGTTTGTGAAGCCTGCCGAGTGTTTCTGATCCATTTCCTTGTATATTTGTAGTCTCCATGTGGGTTCATATTTATTGGGGATTATTTTCTTTGCAGAAGCTTTGTGTGGCCTGAAGGGGAAGCACTCCCTCCGGAGAGGTTTTGGATTTGTTTCAGCCAGAAGCTCGAGAGGCATCAATGGCCTGCCATGAATTTTCTTGGCCTGGTTTTGGGGTCTCCCATTTTGAGGGTGTTATAAAAATGAACTTCATATTTGCATGAGGCACAGGTTTTGGGTTCCCAGAGGAACCTTTTTCCTGTACTGCTTAGAGCCTAGGCAAGAACTGATGAAGCTGTGGGTGACTGTCTTCCAGTGCCCTTCCCCGCGGGCAGCTTTTCTTTAGGATGTCTTCGTTGTGGCTCCCCAACTCACGTAGCCCAAGGCTTCGCTGTCTGCCTCAGGTTGGAGTCACCCCGAATGGCCTTTTTATGTGCGTGGCCTTTCATTTGTCTACATCAGACAGTGATCGACATGATAAATATCCATTGAGTAGTGTTTCAAGGAATATTTGTTGAAGAGTGTCATTCCTTTATTTCACAGGTATTCAGTGCCTACTGTCCTGTAAATCTTCCTTTCCCCCTCTGTATCCACTCTCCTCTACCCTGCTTTATGTCCAGGGAGACTTTAAGCCCCTGGCCTCTGATTTTCAGCTGGGTTTGGCCAATGGTGAGTTTTAGGTAGGAGATTGGAGGCTCCTTCCTAGTGGGGTCTCTGGGGTCTCCTTCTCGGCTGGGCAGGTCTTGTCCAAGAGCACCCTCTCCTGACCCCTGGGGTGAGAACGGCAGCCCGCTCTCCCAGCACAAAGTCCTGTACTTAGTGCTGAGGTTTCCCCACCCCTGTCTGAGTCTTTGTAAAGAACCCTTCACCAGAATTCCCTCAGTTGCCTTACTGGAGTGCGCCCCATGATTTCTAGCAGGACACAGCTTCCAAGTGTCAGGAAGTTTGCCCTGGGAGAAAATGGTGGGCAAAGTAGACCTGCTCTCTGCTCTCATGGCACTGACATTCTAGAGGGACATGCCAGGTCCATAACTGGCTGTGATTCAGGGCGTCACGTGACATGCCAGGTCCATAACTGGCTGTGATTCAGGGCGTCACGTGACATGCCAGGTCCATAACTGGCTGTGATTCAGGGCGTCACGTGACATGCCAGGTCCATAACTGGCTGTGATTCAGGGTGTCACGTGACACGCCAGGTTCTTAACAAACTTAATTCAGGGTGTCATGTGACATGCCAGGGAAGCACATGGGAGCCATGGACAGTCAGCAAGGGCACCTGGCTCAGCCCAGGGGGCCCAGGGAAGGTTTCCCAGGGTGGGTGTCACCTAAG